TTAAACAGATGGAGGTAAGATTTCAGTGGCTTTTCAAAAATATTTTTTAAACCCTAGAACAAGACCTAGTGCTAAACATAGTATTTTAATATCACTATTAACATTTCCAAGAGTCAGTCAACATACTGATTTCATGGACATGACTACATCAACAACTGCCTGCTGGAGCTGGTGACCTGGTTGAAAATGTCCTTTTGTATGGCATTAATAGGAGACAAAAAACAAGGAGCCTGTTTTGTACAAAGACAGATACATAGTATACATTTCTCCTTTTTCCTGTTGTAGGTAAATCCACCACTAAAATAGGAAAATATCACCTCCAGATTCTGTATTTAACCTGTCATAGAAAAATAGTAAGATCTTAGTCTTAAGAAGTCATTTTAGACGAAGGGTATGGGGGGGGGAATATTACAGTTGACATCACTTTCATTGAAGTATCAATATCATATTACTTAATCCCTGCATATCATATTTGAGCAAAGCTATCAGCTGCCTGTGCAAAACAGTACCACCTTTATTTCAGACTAAAGATAACTGAGCAGCAGAAGAGAGCTTGCCTGAAAGCACTTCAGCTATTTTTTACAAGGTATTGAGGACTGGAATGTTATTCAGAATTATAATAATGCTTTTTAGCACCAGAAATGGGAATTGGGCATTGGGCTGATGAACCTGTAAATTAGTACTCAATCAGTATCTTAACCTATAGCTGCCTCAGATTCAAGCAAGACCTCTGCATCTTAATGAAACAGCTTCCACAACACACTTCACCCCTCCTCAGCAGAACAGAACAGAAGCTGTGTTTCTTGGAGCAGTCCCCAGGGATCCTCAGGCTGGCAAGTATGAAGTCTTTCTGTCTCTGAGCATATGAGAACTCAGGTATGGGGCTGAAGCAAAATGACAACTATGCAGACTACTAACTTTATACAAGATATGTTTCTGGGGCTATTACACATCAGTCCTGCTTGTCTACAGAAAAGAAACTATTACTGAAATGTGGTGTGAGGTCACAAGCTAGTATACATTTCTATACAGTCAAATTAGCTTAACGTAAAAATGATTACTAATCTATACTAAGATGAGAGTCACAATGAGAGCTTATGAGAGTCTCGATGTCTGCAATAGGAAGGCAGGACTTAGGCACCTTTCAGTCTTCTATCTCTACCTTAGATTTTTAATTGAAACTGTTCTAATAACTCAATCATTCAACAGAATTTAGCTGTCCTGTTTACTGGACAGCCAGAAGCCGCTTAGTAGCAGAATGACAAGGCAACCAACCTCATAAAACACACGTCCTGAATCAGACTTATGGACACAGACTGAATTTCAAAATCAAAACTGTTAAGCTAGAATGAATCAGAACATGATGATGCTCGTTTTTTGGGTGGAAGTAGTTAAAAGTATAAAAACACACTAGAAATACTACCCAAAGATTCATCCAGTGATTAAAAGAAACAAAACAAAACAAAAACCCCTAACTTTTTCTTATGCAGAAGGAACATATACAGCTATAAAGGCAAATTACTTATGTAAAGGCTACTGTAACCTTAAGGCTATAAAATTGTAAACAGACTTTAACGTAAGAAGTAATTGATACATGTTGGTTCTCAACCCAAAATAAATCATACTTTTTAGTTAGCCAGATAATAAAATATTGGAACTATTTACACGAAAGTCTCTCTAAAAGATGATGTTGGAAAACAAAATGGTAATAAGTAATTTTTGGATCATAATAATAAACTTAATTTTTCAGTAGTCAGAAACTTAAGCCATCATGCCCTGAAGAAAAACAGGTTGCTCTATGTTTTATTTTCTTATTTTTAGCTAGGACTGATAATAAACTCTTCCCTTCCCTTTTGTTCTTATATTGACTTCCAAATTACAAGCAAAGTGGGTTCCACTACAACATTAACAATGTGCAACATACATGACCCTGACTTCTCCAGCTTTTGGAAATGGGAAAGTTACACTCCACAGTTTCATATTAGCTCAAAACAAATACATACACTGGTCAGTTTAACAGTTTGTATTTATATAAACAGCAATCTCTCCATGATAAGTACATATTTAAATTTTGATTAACAGGTACTCTCATAAGCAACCAGTACTAAAAGGAAAATAGCATCCATCTAGGTGTTTTGATCCTTGCATCATAAAGGAAATTTTTGAATCCTTAAGTACAAGAGACATGGGTAAGATTAGCAGGCATTAAATATGTCATTACTCACGTAACAGTTTATCATTATTTTTCAATGTCAGCTTTAAGTGATAGGCTTCGCTTAGTCAGTGACAAATGTGCTGAACTTTGGAAGGATCCGTTTTAGAACCTGGACATCACTGCCTAACTCTTCATCAGTAACTTTAAGATGTCACAGCAGACAGACTGTGGTCATCTGGGATTCTTAAGTTAAGTAAACCATCACTCCATCACAGGCGGTTTACAAGTGATCTATGTTCTCCCTTGAGGATTACTTCCCTCTCTGAGAAGATGCAGCTTTTTAAAACACTTTCTGTCATGACACAAAGCAGGAACTACCCTATCTGCACTCTGACACAGACCATCCTACACATTCTTCAGGTTTTAATTCATTAGTTTTCGCAGCTGCCCCAAAACTCAAGGAGAAAAAGAAAAAAAACCAAACAAACAAAAAAAGAACTTTAAACATTCAACCAGTGTCTTTCATGTCAAAGCACACTTGCTCGGGTTAATTTCATAGATTATCTACATGGAATTAAAAATACAATAATCATGAAAAAAAACCAATTAATTTCCATTCTAACAGAGTACCAGAAAGTTAGCAAATGACTAAAAATAATGGGATTCACTGTTGATTTGCTTATGTTCAAAGGCAGGGAAAACTGAAGACACAACTGCACAGACTGATTCCAAGCATGTTGCACCCCAACTTTCTGCACCAGAGAGCACCAAGACATCTACAGAGCTCAAAGGGAGCACAGCAGTCATACTGCCACCAGCACACTGTTGACACCAGCATAAGCTTGAACTCTTAGGCACAGACAGCCCACACTTTGACTGGTTGTGATTTTGTCAAAAATCATAGAATCAAAGAATGGTTTGGGCTGGAAGGGACATTAAAGCTCATATAGTTCTAACCTCGTGCTATGGGCAGGGACACCTTCCACTAGACCAGGTTGTTCAAAGCCCCATCCAACCTGGCCTTGAATGCTGCCAGGGATGGGGCAGCCACAGCTTCTCTGGGCAACCTGTGCCAGCACCTCACCACCCTCATAGTGAAGGAATTTTTTTCCGTGCGAAAAATTAATGTGCTGTAATTGACAACCAGCCTCTGATAAGATGTAGGCCATATTAACATCCTGGGAGAAGCTGAAGGCAGAGGACTGTGAAGATAGCCGCTGCCCTGCACATGCTTATCAGAAGTTAAATATCTGTTTGGTGATTTCCAGAGGGAAATGGCCACTATGCGTATGCCTGGTTAGAAGGCCACAACATCTCCTGGTGTAATTTTTCTGCAGCTCAGGATCCGAGTGTTCCTCACTGCTACGATCAGCTGAAAGGAGCAAAGCAAGACTGCTGCCACTTCTGCAAGCTGTCTCACAAATATGAAGTGACCATGTTTTTACTTATGTAGCTTCTGAAACTCCCAATAGTTTGGCACTGTGAAAGAAATGAAAGCACAAAATAACCACAGTTTTGCAGATTCTAATAAAATAAAATTACTCCTCCATTTGGATTTCTAGGATGCTTTCCTCTTTCCTGTGTCTGTTTTTGAGCAGTGGGGGCGAAATCTAGGCTCTACATTAAAGTATCTTCAAAATTATAACTTTTTTTTTTTCCTACATCTTGTAAACACTGAAACCCGTGTTGGTTCTGTAAGGACTGATTTAAGGACTACTAACCACTGCCTTTTGAGCTGCTTTGTCTGCCTCTGGTTTCTAGGGGAAAAATTACCCAATATACGCTTATTTGAGAAAGAATCTTTCCCTTTACAGCTGAGCTTTGCCCCCTATGAAATGCTGTGACCTTTCAAAAAAGTTGAAGCTCATAATAGAAAATGGAAGCAAAGGCTTTACAAAGCCAATTCAGAGCATAATTTTAAGGAGCACATGTAATTAACAATGTCATGGAGGACAGAGGTCAAATCAAAATATTGCTGACAGCCATCTCAAGGGACTGAAATTTAATCAGGCTACAGCAATGTTTACTACACATAGGGTTCATTTCACACAACATTTTTATTCTGCAGCTAACAGCAATGAAAAGAAAAAAATAACGTAACCACAGAGCAAATCATTATCTGCAAAGCACTGCTCACAAACTTCATCCCCAACTTTGCACAGATGGGAGACTTGCTTGGATTTGTATCTGTTCATTACATGCAACAGACACACTCAGCTTAGTCAAATACACCACAAGAATTCCAGATCCTGAGTCAGCAACTTGCATATAGAAGTACCAACCTCGTCTAACATTAGCTTTCTAAGTCCATTAAAATGGCAAGTTTATTATATGCATATATGGTATTAAATCATTCATGCTCAAAGTTTGCAAAAGGTTTATATTCAACACTAACTGATTCAACACAAAAGAACAGTTAAGAAGTTAATGCAGTGACTTGAAAGCAATGACTTTAGATATAAAACTTGAGAGTATTTTACTGTAACACTGGTTAAATTTTATACATTTTAGTCTTTACCAGAAAAAAAAATAAAGTTCTGCAAACTGTTACATTTCATACCTTACAAATGTATGATACAACTCCAAAAATGCCACTAAGCTATCTTTTCTTCATGTTGAAGGCTCACTTCTCAAAAGTTTCAAACAGCTTTTGTGCAGAACAAAGTCTCAGCTAGCCCACAACACCTGTACAGGTGTCAATATTCCTGACAGATGAATTTGGAGGCTGACCTCTTCACATTCATACCTAGTAATTTCAGGATCGAGTTTCCACAAGCACCCTGCAAGTCCTTTCCCACCTCCTGCCAATGACTCTCCCTGCATAAATGCACATTATTTTACTTACCGTTTGGTGAAGTTTTGGGTTTTCTTTTCCTTTTTTAACTGTGAGGAAACAGGGTATTGAAGTAGTATGCTGACTTAGGAAAGACGCTCTGTATGTACTATCTTTATATGTGTTCTATGGGTTTATCATGTGCACATAAAAGATAACTTTGCAAAATTCATAGTTTAGCTGTTTAAAAGGAAGAAATGAGAAGAAATAACTGAAGATATAGCATGTGTATTTCTTTGGGGTCTGTGAAATTTCATCTCTAGTGAAGTCAATGGCAAAACTGTTGACTGCTGATTCCTCTTAGCTATTCAATGTACACGTGCACCACCTACCATGTTTTAAATGCTATTGCAATATGAATATATGTAGCCTAGAATATATGTAGCCTAGGTTTAGGATAAGACACTGGAAGAAATGATTAAAGCATTCAGTTCGTAACAGCTTTTTGGTAATAAAGCTTAGTAAACTACTACTTTTCCTGTACTTGCTACTGAGAAATGTGTAACAGAAAAAATGACCATACCTTGCTATCTTCATGAACTGTGTGCCATACAAACACCCCCAAAAGTGGAAAACAAGAGTGACAAGGCTAGGCAAGTGCATCTTCCTCTCAGACAAAAAAACCTAACATCCAAGAAACCAATGCCAACTGCCTAAGCCGTGGTCGTGCTTCAAAATGCAACAGAAAATAACCAGAGACAGGAGGCTTGGCACCAGCTCTGCTGCATACTCATCCTCCCTCCTCTTCCTATAAAGGCCGTTCATTGCCATCTTGTGTTGCAAAGTTGTACGGCAACTATTAAGTTCACGCTATTAAGGAAGTTTGCCCTTTATATAGAACAAGAAAGTCCAGCAGAGTGGAATTCTGGAAACAATTCAGTAGTTCCGCGAATCCTTTCACTGGGAGCTCAACATCCAACAGAAAAAAAGCCATGTTAAATAACAGTCCACAGAAAGTTATCTGTACATGCTATCAATTTTGCACAGAACTATAGAGTAGTAATTTCAGCAGAAATACTCTATCATTTGTGTTAAAAATAAACCAGCAGAAAAAAAGATATTATTTATCAGAAAAAACCTACATTTTTTCACTTACGTCGTAATTTTTCTCCTCAGAAAAATATATTTATTACCCAATACTGAAAAATGTAATTAAAAATATTTTAGGTAAGGTGTGACTTCAAAGAATTATCTTTTGCAAATAACCAGCCCACTTCAGCAATGCCATCAAAAAGATCCTGAAACTAAGCAAATACCAGCAGTTTTAATAATTTAACAAATTTTGCAGAAAAAAGTTCTGAAGTACATTTACAATTTAAAAACTTTCATTAACTTCAGAGGCAGCCCACATGAATGTTCTATGTCAGTCACTTCAGAAAAGTTAAATACCGAATACAGGATAAACTAGTATGACCTAGTAAATACTGTAAAAGATTACTGACAGAATTAAAGGATATGTTCTGACTAATCCATCTTCTAAGGTATCCTGGGCTCACTTAAACCATGACGTAAGGTATTGTAGAAACAAAGGGTAATTAATATTTAAAAATAGAAAACAGGAAAGCTTTGTATAGAGCTACACACACTTGTGTATAACACAACCATAGGCATTTGAAAGGACTGACTTACCACCATTAGATACTATATTCTCCCTACAGCCACAATCAGTGCCTTAAAGCCCGCAGTACGAACAGGGCAGTACTGACAAGAAAGTGGAAGTATTTATGGGTGGAGATTCTCCTTTTAAAATGAAAACATTTACCATTGTACTTTTAGCTCCCTCTACCCTATTTTACTTCTTGCAGAATCTAGCACATAGTATATTTAAGATATTGATTTAACTAAGCATATAGTAAAATATAAGTTGTGTGGAATACGTTTCAAATAAAAATATTTTGTTCTTCAGCAATGAAAGCAATCAAGATGCATGTGCAAATCGGAAAGTAAACGTAATTCTTCCTGTTGCTGATGATGCTATCCCAAGATAGGGTGAAAGACCTGGGTATGTTCTTCAACTGACAGACAACTTTCGTGAAGAACTTCAATATAAATAATGCACCAGAGTTGTGAGAGAGGCTGGAAAAAACTGCATTAAACCACTGTGGAAGGGAATGCACTACAAGGAATTACTGTAAAAAAAAAACCCTATCCGATTAAAAACCAGGAAGCATAACAATACAACTGTATAAATTCATAATGCAGATACATTTTGAATACTGCATGCAGTTCTGCTCTTTCATCTCAAATAATTTAGCAGAATTAAAAAAAGGAGAAAGAGTGGCAAGGTTGACTGAAGCTATGAAACAATGTCCATGCAAGGAAGCAACTACACAGATGATAACTTTTCAAGTCAAAAGAAAAAGAAAGAGGGAGTGCAGGTAGCATAAATACCTATGAAGTCATGAGTGGCACAGAAAAATGAACAGAGAAAGATTACTGAGTATTTTTCCCAGTGCAAGAACTGAGGAGAACCAAATGAAACTGGCAGGTGGCTCAAAAACAAACAAAAGGAAGTACTTTTTCCACACAATGTGTAGTTAAACTCTGGAACTAATTGCCACAGGATGTTGTGGATGCCAAAGTTTACATGAGTTCAAAAAGCAATTAGAGAAATTCACCGGAGGGGGAAAACACATCCATGAACGGCTGTTAATCACAAAGATATTACCAGAGGATTAGGAAATCTTGGAGCCACAGACTGTCAGATGCTGAAAGAGCACACCAGGCAAGTACTACTGTATGCTTAACCTGTTCTTATAGTGTTCTGTAAGTACCCACACCTGCTCATTGCCAGAGGTAGGACTGGGATACACCAATCACAAGCCTCTTTCAACACAGGAATTCTTACGGGTTGATTATATTCTAGGACATTTTTAAGTAACTTTTTCCAGCTCAGCTATTCATCTTCTGCTCTGCCCACTTTTGCATGCTATGATCCTGTCTTCCAGATGGTCTCTAGTCCTAGGGCTTATTTCCATAAACTTAGTCATTTTTCACTGGTAAAAGTATCATGATTATATTTATGATAAGGAGCACATTTACATCACATTTAAAGCCTTTTTTTTTTGAAGAAAAAGTACCATTTAGTATATTATAAAATACATAATTTGTTAGAAACTATTCAAAAAATCTGTTTACACTCTTTAAGATATCTATAATGAAACCTGGGAAGTATACACCAGGAAGCAGCCAGACTCAGAGCCTAAGGAACTGTAACGGAAAATTTATATATAGGGTTAAAACACCAGTCAAGGCTATAGAACACAGACAACAAAACTTGTTCAAACGAGTTTTATGTTTTATATGAGTTTTCATTAGGGGACTGGGCCACCCATGTTAGAAACCACTTGATATTAACCAGTACCCTGAGCAAACAAAACACTTACATTAGTCTTTTAATGCTTAAGCACTGGAACAGAAGCAAGACAGTGCTGCCATATCATCAGCAACAGGAGGAAGCTTCCTCCTATAACTAAATAATTTAGATTTGCAAGTAGTTTCTAATCAGGAAGTGAATCCCAGCCTTATATTTACAAATTTAGACTGGAAATTAAAAGACTGTATGTAACCATCAGAGAAATGATATCCTGAAAGCTGTTTCCAGTATGAACAGCAAGTCCCATGAAGTTACCTATTTAAAAATGGAGCTCAAGATACATGAATGAGCTGAATAATATAAACACAGCTGCCTGAAACAGAGAGAGACTGGAATTCATGATTCAGGAAATCCCTTCCATTCCACTCCTAATTAAAATACAAATACTTTATGAATGCATGTTGTGGGAGTCGGGATTTTTTTTTTTTCCTTAATTGCAGTCCTGATCACTACTAAATGCAGTAACAAGGAAATTACTTGTACAGCCACCTGAGAGTTCAATGCTCTATGCTATCAAAAACTGTCTCAGGAGTATAAGGAAAATGCAACACAGAAAAGCACTCTATTCACTAAGGGAAAGACAAAGAAATCCCTGCCATAAAAGTTATACCCATTTAGCAATAAAAGCATGCAGAAAGTAGAGAGGACATTGCAGATTTGACTACAAAGCTAAGCAGTGGCAGTTTAAAATATTCCCAAAGGTACAATAAAACAGACCATGCCATCATACACAGTTTTATGCTGAATAGTAATTATTTCCTTAGAATAATAATTGCGGTATGTATGACCTGAATCTAAAGAAACATGGTGCAGTGATGGCGTTTTCTCTACACAGTGATTTATGAAATGAATACTACAAACTTGAAGCATATATGCTAATATGCAGGCACCTAAGGTTATAAATATACAGACAGGCTGCTCTTACAGGTCTAGCCTTAGTTTACAAATAATGACCCCAGATGTTATTGCTTTGAGATGGGAGGTTATTTCTGTTGCTGCTGTGAAGCAAAATTGACAATGCAAAAAAATCTAAGTTGATTTCAGTGCAAAATAATAAAAGATTAACTTAAACATTATGTATTTGCTAGTGCTCCTTTACATTGCATATTCAGTGTAAATTATGTTGTTTTATTACGTTACACTACCATCTCTACATCTGAATCAGTAAGATCTCACTGTATTTAAGAAAAATTCCATTTGTGATATCAATTAAATGCTTGAACGTGAACAACCCGTATCACATTAAATGTTCTAAGGACAGTGGTCAGAATTTGCTTCATTTCAAACTAGTTCCAAGACACTATAGAGTAGGTACTTACTGAGATCCTCTGCAAGCTGGACCCTCTTGCCAGTTAGGAGCTTCACCTTTTTTTCATTATCCTCAGCAAAATCTTCAAGCACTTCTTTTACATTCTTCTCTAAGCGCCTTACTGTAAAAAGACCCCAAAACAACAAACCAAAAAAAAAAAAAAGTGAGTGGTAATACTTGCATCTGTCATGACCTAAGGCCAAAATTTTTGGAAGGTCTGTGGGAGAAGTAGTGTATGTTATCAGAGAAACTAATGTGATTAGAGAAAAGGCAAATTTCTGAATACACAAGCCCCTTGTTTGGGCCATTAAGTAACATATTTGCTATCAAAATCACCCTCATCAGACAAACCAAGGTCAAGTCAATTAAAAGGTGAAACATAGAAAAGTTACTAATAGTAGCAGAATGTGGTATTGAAGGATTGGTGACAGAGGGGTGCTGCTGTATATACACGGCTAAGAGGAACCAAAACCTCTTTAAGGCAGCATTATATACATCATAACATTCATATCCTTGCCTTTCATACTTTGGGGGAGTACCTCCTAACGAAACTTCCTAATTTCATTGCAGCAGTTTTCAATGATGTAGGTGATTCGAGACAGAACCTAGCTTTCCACATTAGGGTAGCATGGAGGGTAACATGCATCGCATGACAAAGCTCAAACCTTTTACTTGAACTTTCTTCAAGAAGAGGCTGAAAACTATTTTACAGATCAAAGGTTGTTCTTAGTAGTTGTTCCATAGCACTAGCCACTTGCTACCGAAATGATGATTTATAAGGAAGCTGCTGTTGTATAAGCTTTTCTTTTTTTTAGATATTTTTGGATATTTCTTTAGATAGTTCTTTTTTTTTAGATATGAAATGGCAGATTTTGCATGGCTTTAAAAAAAAAAAAATCCATTAGAACTACTTCTTATATCAAACATTTTTAAATTAAAATCTACAGACAGATTGACCTGAGGTAAAAAAAAATTAAAAATAGGAAAATAGTCACTATTTGTTGAAGTTCTTTCTGCCTGGAAAAAGATATTGACGACTGACATCACACAAGCTAAAAATATTTTAAACTGGCGAGTATCTTAATTATTTCACATTCTATTTATACTCAATCCTTCTGTGTAAATAGAATGTCAAAATCTATTTACTCTACATCTTTAAATTATCCTAGCCAGGACACAAAAACCAGCCAGCCATGCTAAGCATGGAAAGAACATATAGCTAGACAAACACCAGAAAATTTCTAACCTTTTTTTTCGTTTCAAACACGTCAACTCACTATAAGCCTTACCTTCAGTGTTAGTAAGCTGCTGCCTCAGCGTATTTGCTGTAATTGCCAGCATTCGCTGTATTCGCCAGAAGAGGACAATATCATTACATTCAAGCTGAAATGAGGGAAGTTGTACTGTCAGACCTCTGATACCCAGTGAAGATTCTACACTTACAAGAATCTCTTGACATTTTTAATGGCAACTGTAAGCCCATGTATACATATCCTGATCTTGCACAAAAATACCACAGAATAACTGGTGCAGGGAACAAGGAAGCACACCAAAACCACTTCTCAAGAACCATGTCCCTTACTTAGTATACCCCATCACCTTTACATAGACTATTTTCAACAGAAAAAGCCACATCAAGGAATACCACAGAAAAACAATTTGCACACACCACATGCAACCTGGTGAGTATAATCTAATGCTCACTGAAGCACCACACTTGTTCATAGCAAACACATTAAAAGACAAACACCTGAACTCCCTGACTGTCATGACTCCCCGTCTGAGAAACACTTCTGAATACAGTGCTGTGTCAACTGTGTATTTGTTAACAGAAGAGACAGTTTCTACATCTGCAAGGATGGCAGGTACTAACTTCCCATTACAACATCTTATAAAGCCAGTTACAGATACAGGAGGTTAAGTGTCACAGAGAGGTAGCTCTCTGAACTCATTTTTTCAGGTCTTACAGGCAAAGGTATTTCTACAGTAGTAAAGATTTCTGGCTCCAAGGGGATCACTTTTTCTCATTAAAAAAGAAAAGCAAACTCCACAGAATATGAGGAGCTCTACCTTTCCCATATTTTTTTTTGATTTAAAAAACAGTTTTCTTTGTGCAACTTTGTACATACTGTCATTGGTTGCATTTGGGTTTACAAAACTGGAAAGTTATTTAAAAGACCTGTCTGTAAGCTAAGCTCCACAGTTGTTTGTTGGGTTGTCTTTTGTTTTGTTTGGAAGGTTTTTGTTTGGTTTTGGATTGGCTTATTTTTTCCTCATTAATCACATGTGGTTCCAAGTTCTAAACACTTATTTATCATACCTCATAAAACCCCCTTAGTTCATGTTTTTAAAATTTTCTGAATTTTTGGTATCAGTGAGGTAAATAATTATCAATGGGAAAATAGGAGAAAGGGATACCAACAAGATACCAATAGCTGTACAATGCTTCTTTTAACAGTATATTTTCAAGACACATCAGTAAGTAACAAATGTTTAGGTCATGGCTGATACCATGACCATGGCTGGTCATTTTATATAATTACCACCAGGATGGCATTTTATCAATTACAAGCCTCACGTAAAACATGTCTAAGAACACCAGCTATCTTAAGGTAAAGGATATAAAAGAAAGGTCAGGCTAGTTTAAAAGTATTTGTAGATTTATTTTTTTTTTTTTTATTTAACTGAGATGGAAATATTAAGCCAAACAACCAGCGTGTATCTATACTTCAATTTACCTCCGAGTCCACAAAATGCCTCTGGTAATAATAAAAGCCTCTTCGACATAGATTGCAGTGGTTCAAAGCAGTCTTCAGAAAATATCTTCTATAAATTTGGTGCCATGTGTCTTTAATCTAGGAAAACAGAGCTTAATTTTTACTAAATAAATACATACATACGCTATCATGCATAGTTTAACGGTCACATTTAATTTCAAAATGTAACTCCAATTTCCACTATTCCTGTCATGTAGTATACATTTAAATATTTCTCAGCAATTTGTCTGCAACTGGGATATGATTAATGTCTTAGCTACATTTGGCAAACATTACAGTTGATTGCCAATTTTAAAATCTACTATTCCATGCTTGCAACATAACTGAATGCTTAAAAATATTGTCTGCAGCTGAAATACATTTAAATTATATACTACAAAACAGGACAAATTGTTCTGCTCTTGGCATGACGTAATCTTTAAGATGGAGAATACATTTCTGAGTTCTACCTATTAGTTTATCAATTAAACCTGATTGAGCATAGAGAAACATTTAATGGTCTTACGTAAGCAAGTATTTGTAACTTTTCTTGATTAGGCTTATTTATGTTCCAGTTCTTCACAATCAAGTATGCATATAGATATGTCTCTTACAAAAAAATAAAAAAATAAAATAAAAGAAAATTTAAAAAATATTCTCACATAGAAGACGTGGATCATTACTCTGACCTTTACAAAAAGGTATGGTAAGTGCTGTATAGGAAAGAGGCAGCAAGTATTTAAATAACTCTTCTATCTTGAATAAGTACATGCATCCATGTTAAGAAAAGGTAGCCAGGTACTGTAGAAAATAAATGCGTTGTACTGCATTTGTCTAGCAGCCAAGTGTGTGAATTGTGTGCAAGCAGTCATTTAGTAATTAATTTGGAAACATCTGGATTACAAATTCAGTATTTAGAGGGAGTCTTTTGCATGCTATCTAGAAAGAACATCCAAATGTTCACAGGGTGCTTCCATATGTTTTGTTACAAATCTGCATCTTACCAGACACGGATCCACTGTTACTCCTCTTGCTTCAAGATTCTTTCTGACAGTTGTCACTTCATCATTTGCCAGATAAGCTGCATGTTCTTCACTACATTTGATTAATTTCTCAAGTTCATTTTTTGTTTCATTACGAATATTCTAGAATAAAAATGTTTAGTTAGAAGTAATTCTTACAGACTCAAAGATCATCAGCACCTCCTCAATAAACAGTCTACCTGCTTGATAAGCCAGAATTGAAAGTAACTTTGACACTTTTAATTATTAAAGTGACTGAAAAGGGTACTTGCACAAAGACATTTAGAATACAATGCTTTTAAATAGATAATTCACAGTCAGTTTTTCACATTTTTTTCTTCTCACTGTGCACAGAAATGCAGAAGAGGAAGAGATAGGTGAAAAAAAATAAGCCAGAGGCATTAGCCTCCTTTCTGTTCCATGAACATCCGCTAGTGGAGTTTACATTCATATAATCACCTGTGATACTCATGAGAATTGTCACTTTTCCCCAATAGCTAGCAAGAACTCTCCATGGATTCATCCCTTTAATTTGCTGTTTGTTATACTCAAATAAGATAGGTTGAAGTCACCGTCTTTCTCCCATACCTGGCTCCATACAAGTTGACTGTAAAGCTCCTTCCTCTGAAACAATTATTTTAAACTCTACTTACAGCTTTAAAGTATGACTGAGTTTGACAAATACCTAGAAAAAGTAATATTAAAAGCCCATAATCTCAGCACTGAGCAGAACATGGTATTTAAATTTAAAAGAAATTTCCAAAAGCTATAAGCAAACAAGAAGAGAGGTCATGGTGAAAAAACTTATTCAGAAGATACAACTGTGTGACTATCCCATTACATACTAATCAAATCCAAATGGAGCATGACAGAAAACTGCAGGGACTTCTGCTTAAAAGGCACCCTTGGAAAGCACAGAAAAGAATAGGGCAGTTTCCATCCTGTTTCTTTCTAATGAAAGAATTTAATATTCATGTCAATGATATAGTAGTAAAGATGTAAGCCAGCTGAAGAATGGAGAACAGTTTACAAACCAGTATGTATCTGCAATATGAACAAAGTACATGGAACTACCTGTGGTGCTCTATTTAAATAGATGAATACTAAAACTAATTGCAAAATATTTAAAAGTTATTTTAAACTTTTTTTTAATCATCTAAATATAGAGTGAAGAGGATCGGTATTTTTTAAAATTTGCTAACTAATAATCAAAATATTCAAAAGGTAGTGAACTATCTTTTCCTTTTACCTGTTCTTTGGTGCGGCCTATCCAGTATAACCACCTTTTTTTCCAGTCTGGACCCACCATATCTTCAATAACAGATTCAGCTAAAAAAGAAAACGTGATATTAAGTATCACTCAAAATACCTGTAACCAGCCAAATTTATAGTTCTAAAATTAGGTAGATCAAGAATAGACATTTTATGTTTAAGAATGTAAGATATGCTATACTGAGGCAAGTCAGAAGTTTTCTGCTTAAAGCAAAAGTTGATGTCTTTTATTAAAATATAAAAATGACTGCAACCTGTAGTTAAAAAAAAAAAAAAAATAAAATAATCTTACCTTGTTGCAACTTGCATCAAAAATAATTATGCTTGATAACCACAGATGGGCCAGCTACTTTCCCTGAATTTATCCTACTCTTCTACATGTGAGTTTATACCTTTTTTGACTCTGCAGATCTCTATTACTTGTCTTTCAGCTTCCTCATCGCAAAAGACCTACCTTTTGAGGCGGCATTTTGCTAAACATTTCTATCATTGTTGGTACCATTTTGAACTGTCACCACTATCACAGTTGTGATAAAATAAAAGTTGCCCTGTAGTAAAGTGAACAAGATCTGGATTTGGTATACAAGAGTGGAATACATCACACAACTCACTGTCTTTGAGACGACTTTGGAGCGTCTCTTCCATAAAATGAATAGCTGCATCCCACTGCTGTTTATCAGATATTGACCGATCTTCTAAGGCATTATGCTGGATCACCCGCTGAAACACAGAACATCTTTTTAGCATAAAATAGATAATTTATCCAGAATTCAGTAAAACAAAGATTATTGACGTTCTCCTCATTTTTTGATTTCTATAAAAACCAGCATGTATTGGGAATACAGGATTTATTCAAGAGGCTTCTCAAAGCAGTGCCAAAATTCTTTTCTTGTGCCTTTAATTTGACTCTCTTCTATAGCCTAGCATAACTGACGTCAAAAATGCAACAAGCAATACGAAATCCCTCTGGATTACAGAATATATAAAGATGGTAATGAAATGCTGTTACTTTATATGGCTATACTTAGCAAATGCGCTGATGCTAAACAATTCTCACAAGATAGTCCTTTGGCAGCCAGAAGATTATGGAGGACTTTCTCCTGAACCAACCTAAATAATTTTATTAGCTGATATTTAGGGCAATAGTTAACATAAGGTAGTAGTAAAATGAATTGAGAAACGCCAAATTAGAACATTATATAGAAAAGGAGAGATAGTCATATCTATCATTTAATGATTACATTAAAAGAATGCAGAAGTACTGAATATGCCACTTAAGTAAAAAAATTTCAACAGCACTTATCCAATAATGCAAAAAAAAATCCACTACATTATACCAGGCTATCCTCCGCTCTCTCATTCCATTTATGTCGCTTAATACTTTCTTCTTTGACAGCTTGTTTCAGTTTATCAAAGATATCATCATGCTCTTTTCCTTTTGGCTCAGTCATGAAACGGGAAAATTCTTCTTGCAAAGTCTCCCATGCCACCTAGAAAGTTAGCAAACAGTACCTACTGATACAGACCATTATACCATGCAACAGCTGATAATGGAACATTCATGACAATTCTTGCAAGTATGAAAATTTGCATATTTTCAAAAAACAATGTACAAGCAAAAGAGTAAGTCACTGACTTTTCTTTTGCTGCCTTATCTACCCATTACTAAGGAAGACTAAATTTCACCTTGCTATGTTGCAGCAAGTGGAATTCTCTTAAACTTGCATAAATCTATTACATAAATATACCTAGCTTGAAGGGTTTGTTTAACCTTTTAAGAGGGTTTGTTTTTTTTTTTTGTCTTTAGTATGGAAAATTCACCACAAGACCAAAATACAATGTTCCTAATGTATATGCTTCTCAACATCAAGATCTTGTTAGCCTTCTTTTACATGAAAGCTAGTTAGAAGAACTGCAGTGAGCCCTTCAAACCATCACCTTCTCTGGAGGTATGCTTTAATTTCATCAGGCTTTGCACAGATTTTTCTTATTTTTCTCTTTATTTAAATAGATAATTTCTCACCTCTACCGCTTTATTAGGTAGCTGCTTGTCAGTCCACTGCTTCAGTTTGATGTCCACAGTGGTGTTAAATGTCCCCGAGTTCATAGTCTGTGCTGCTGGAAGGTATATATTCTCAATCACATGAGTAGATACCCTTTCCCATAAAGTTTTCTGAAGAATCTCCTCCCTAAAATGCAAGTTGTAACACATATAATAACTTCCAGTGCAAAAGTGTCTAACAAGTATGCACTCCATTTGTTAGAAACACTGAGGAAACAAGGCTACAGAACAATGAAATACTCCCTTAACATCAGGACACTACTTCGACCAAAATCTGCTTGGAATTAAGGACACAAATGCATAATGTTTTCAGCAGCAGAGACAATTTCACAAGTTGACCTCTACTACTCTTATGGTTGCCACTGCACTGCACTGCACAACAGTTCCTTGCAGTCCTTAACCAGTATAACCATAGAGAGCTGTGTGTGCATATGCATGGCAGATGAGGGAAAGACAAGGGGGCAGATTGTAAAGCACTGAAATTATTTGACTGATGTCTCACACATGGAGAAACAAACTCCATGTGGGTTTTGTTTCTGTACTACTCTTGATTTGTTTGTTGGAACATGCTGTAGTTTTCCACCTGGGATTTTCATTGATTGTTCCCAGATCTGATAAACACTGAAGCAAGTTGAGAAGTCCAACCTTTTGCTAAAACGTATGTCGACATTCATTTACAAACGTTATCACATAACACTGTAAAACTAAGCACCACTTTCCTATATATGATGTGTTTCAAGAAGCAACAATGGAAACAACTTAACTTTAATCTTTTTAAATGACAATAAACTTTCTCAGGAAACTTCGCAGCTGCAGCAAGAAAACCCATCTGAGCCAGTATAACATGAAGCTGGTACCCACAGAGGCAGTCACGCTCCTTCTGCTCCTGCCCCAGTCTCCAGTACAGGTTTTGGCTTTCTTGCAGGTTCATTTTATCCTAGCTAAATCAGCTTACCATCAGGTCATATGAATGCCAGATTTGGTAGAATGGCAAAAGCTAAGAGCTGAAGAATAAAAACTACCTTTTTTTTGGTGGTACAAGACTATCAGATTCACTCAAGTCCTTTTCTTCCAAACGCTCCTAAGTTCAGGACACATGCTTCAACCCTGACAATGCCCCTACTCTAACCAGATTTGCAGACAATGACTGAAGAACTTCTCATAAATATCACTTCTCCACCCCCTTCTAAAATGGCATAATTGAAAATTTCTTTTGTGCTTAAAGCATCCTCTTTTTGAGATTCAAAAATTTTGAAGCTGTCCTTCTGACATACCAGCTTAAATGCGAATGATAGCCAGTAGTTTTCCTACTGTTGGAACACATTTTTGGCATACTTAGGATAGTAAAACTGTTTACACAAAACAAAAAGGAACTCAAACATTTAAATGTTGAAAGAACTCACTCTAAATAAAAACTAATTTTGCCACCAGTAAAAAAAAAAAAAAACCTCCTTAAAAAGCTTTGTTCAAAACAGGAGGACTTGGGCAGTGCTCAAAGATCAATTATTGATCATTCCTGATCATCATTAGAACTGTGGACATGACAAATTAATTTCACTTACAGGGTGTGCTGGAAACTGGCTGTTATGGATTTCACTACTTACAAATTCACTGTAGAAGGGCAGTCCTGCTATTAAGAACAAATGCAATCTCATTCCTTCTTTACTGACATGTCAATAAAAATACTCTTTTACTTTGCTTAATGCAATCAAACTTAATTGGAAGGAATGGAAATTTTAACAGGATGGAAACATTAGCATTCATCAAATGCACTGCTGATTTTAGGCTGCATATGATGGCTAATGGAAGCATTTTTTCACAACTTAGGTTTCCAGTTCTACTTTATAGTTTGTTAACTGCTGCAAAACTAGAATCATCACTACATTTTAACTTTCAGAAAGAAATGCACCCACCCCATCCACAACAAAATTAAGTCAACTAGACGTGGACCAGGGTACTTCAGCATCTATCATACAGTGAACAGGAACAAGCACCAAAATGGCAAACTTGTATTACACTTGGACTATAAAATAAATTCAGCCTAATACACTGCCTATAACACTTGCTCTGAAGGCATCCACATGCCCAGAATTACTCTAATGTCATTAAGACTCAGACATTTTATCTTGGTTTTTAATCTATGACCAAGTAACAGTTCAATTCAGGTGACTGAAGGTTCTTAGCTGTGGTAAAGGCTGCCATCAAAATAATTCCTTATATTTTCCTCTCAGCATACAGTGGCTTTACTATGCAGTGATGCTACACTGTTAAAATACTTCAGCTAAGATGGGTCCCTCTCACAGCTATGTCTGCCTTACAAAGAAGTGGGGCAACACATTATGGTGCTACTTGGTTGAGGCTACCAAAAAGATCTACATGTAGGGTAAAATTCTCAAACATCCAGATCAGCTTTCTTTACAACCAGGAATTACCAAATCTTTCAATTTCCAAATCTTTGATTCACAGGGATACAAAACTTCTTTCTTCCAAGGTCATATATATTATTTTGATATACACAGTGATAAACCCCAAATATCAAGTTAAAGCAAATTACTGATTCATACTTCAAAAGAACATCTGAAAACAGCTTTATTATCACTGTTTCATTTTTGAGGAATATCTATTGTTCATTATATCATATAAAACCAGAACAAAACACTGACATAATGTGATTTTTGTCAAGGGATTATGCAAGTATTTGCTGATTCAGAACAACAGACTGCTTCCATAGGGATAAAAGACATAACATACTGACCTAAGAAAAACAGTTTCATATTCATATTTGAGAGTTTTAGTAAAACTCTGTATTTTAAAGGTGAACTTTTGCTAGTTAATTAAAAAAATGGGGAGGAGGGGGGGCAAGGGGCAGAGAGAGATACAGGAAAGAAAAAAATATCATACCAGTGCTTTGGTGTGACCTGAGTCAAGCTTATGACTTCATCAAGAATCTCATTCTTTGCTTTTTCAAACAGTTCATTCTGTGCAAAAGGCAAAATACGGAATAAAAAGATTTTAAGTATAGTTCAATCATGTTTCCATAGAAAAAGTAAAAACCAAAACCTTACACCTTCCAGTCATGTTCTGGACAATTTACGCATTTCTTGTATGGTAAACCAAGATAACTTACATCTTCCTACCCATCTCTTGCATGCCTCTGGCCAAGCATAGCATTTGAATATTCAGGGTCTCTATAAAGGAATTAAGAGAATGGGATCATAATTGTTTTGATATTCTGTCTGACTGAAAGACCAGGAAATCTAACTTCTCTTTGCCAGTTCTGTCATGATCACAAAGAAACACTGACTTAATCCTACGGGCAAGTTAGGTCAGTGAACAGCACACAGAAGCATGAAGGACTTCTAAGCACTGAAATACCACAATTTTGAAGCACGCTATTTCATAAAATGGAGAGATCGGTATTTCTTTACCCTACATTGTCCTCACATTTTAAAATGTCAGTACTTCACATTTACTTTAAGAAATATTTACAAATGAGATTAAATGACAAATTTTAATCCATAATTTTCAACACTTCATAGCACATAAAGCAGTAATTTACCCTGTCGAGCTCTCGCAACCGGGGATAATTGTTCTTCCATTCAGTCTCTAGATTGAAACGTGTGGCTGCAAAATCAGAAATAAGGCCTTAATATTTTTCTTGTCTATATGCACTTCATGACTATCTTAGAAGTTCAGCTCCTAAAACTGCCAAAAGTCTTGTTTACGACAAACCCTCCAAGAACACTGAAAGCGCCTCTGCAAATGAGCAAATTTTTCTGCTATGTTCAGATATTCTGTCTAGAAATTGCAGGATTGATGCAATGAAAAAATGTAGCGGAAATAGAACCGTGCAACTTACACCTCTGTACAAGGCAGTCCTGCCCTGGCTGATCAGGTTGTATTTTTATATGGGAAGCCATTTTGTTTTGCACACTAAATTTGTTTTCTTCACACTTATTTACTCCTCTGGCTTTTAGAGCAAGTGGGTCCTCCATTCCATGAATTTTTTTTTTCTGTGTTTTTGTAAAGATTAACATATAAAACACAACTGCCCAAGCATGCTGGCAGAAAAGTATAACATATACAGAAGATCTGTTTAACAGCAAGCTGCTATTTCTCTTGGGTTTTGAAAAGATGTTTACCTTTAAAAGCATCTGCTTGCTGCTCCACAGACTCTCTCACCATTTTCCAAAAGCAGTCTGACACAGCAAGACTTAAGTTCTTTGTTGTTACCTGGTGTGCCTTAAGCATACATGTCCTGTAAAGGAAGACAGCTAGAGGAAATTCTTCCATTCATTACCATGCTTTCTGTCCTCCATTTTCTCCTCACAAGAATAAAGCTTTGCTTTATATAGCAGTCAACAGTATGTCAATGTGCACCTAACTCAAAATCCAGTCTCTTCCTCCAAATTATTCAGTGAGTAAATGGGGGAGGAAAGGGAGGGAACAACACAAAAGCAAACCCAAACCCCCAGAATCCCAAAACACCCACCACAAATTTTTATTCTAAAGGGTGTAGTGCAGGTACCGCAGTCCCAAAGACCATGCAGCTTACTTTCCTGAGAAATACAAGCCTGTGAAATAAAAACTTTGATCAACTGGCAGAATACACATACTAACCCTTTGAATACAACACTGTTGTCAGACCAAGATGACGGACATTTAGAGGGACTACAACTAATTTTTGGGCTGAATTCGCTCTTCCCAGCTGTATCAAGTGCCTAGACCTTGCTGGGAACTTAGTTATTCTAGATCCAATGGAGAGATGCAGAAACCTCTGAAGAGAGCTGCAAAACTCCAGCGGAATCAACTGCTGCCTGAAAATGCCTTACAGAAAGCATTAGGAAACCAGGCCCACCTGTTCACCTCAGCAAGATACTCCATTTAAGCAGGTTAAATCACAGATAGTGTCCACAGTGCAGTCCTTTAATTTCAGCAAGAAAAACTGTATTTACCAACACAGGCTTATTTTAGTAAAAGGAATAAATAGCAACATACTTCAACAGCTTTGAATTTTGAAAAAATTCCTCTTCATACTCTTTAATAGATTCAATGCTTTCACTGCTGTTTCCTGGAGAAAGAAAAGAGTGCTGCAACAGTTCCATTTGGACAGTTTTCTCTGCTATCAAGGAGAAAATAAGGAGAGCCAAAGCTCTCTTTACCTTTTCCAGTAACAACTGCAAAATAACCCAAAGCTTTCATTGGGAAGAGTTTGCCTTCAATTATTTGCTGGATCTACGAAAATAAAGGATTAAAAAAATTGTGGTTAACTATGCACACAGACATTCTTTCCTTCATCGTAGTTTCAAAGCCAGATCTAGTTTTATCTATGCATAGAGTGCAATAAGAGGCAGTTTCTCATGGGACTTTGATTCCTACAGGTATTTAAAATAAAATAAAATAAAATAAATCGGGGGCATAAAGCATAACACCGCAAAACACAAAATAAAGTGAAAAAGCCTATCCCAGAATACCATAAAGCATTCTCAGAAAACAGAACTTGCTCAGTTCACCTCCATGAAAGAAACCATTATTACAGCAAGTTGTAGCCAAGCTGTGATTGAAGTCATGTAACTGATCACTAAAAGCAAAGCCTGAGATTAAAACAACCACCACAATAAATAAATAAACAAACAGTGATGAACACAGAAATAAGCACTCAACACCATCCAGAACAGGCAGGTGAGGTCTAATATTTCTGACAGTATCTCAAGTATTTTTCCATGTGTGACTTAAGCCATCACAATATAAGAAAAATAGTTTCAACTCACCCTGCTGGGACTAGCCACATTTTTCTCAGCAAGATCAACTTTGGTCAACACAAAAATTGTCCTTTTTCCTTGAGGATCCATTTGGCTGACTAAGTCTGTGACAATACTGCGTTCTGCATCCACTGATCCATCTAAAACAAACAAAACTAATACTGTATTTTAGGGACAATACAATCTAACACATAGTACTAAATACATAGTATACTTCAAGTAAGTTTCATGTTGCAACTTACAAACAGTAAAATTACACTTACATTCAATTTTTGGATACACAAAGTGAAAATCTGCTTTGTTCCCAGTATTATCAAAAATTATTTGCAGTTGTACAAGTTTTGAACAAGTACCAGCTCACTCAAAATACTAAACTCTTTTATTGTTTGCTGCCTCCAAAACACTTTTGAAGAAATACTGAATTTTATTATTACTGTTTTTTCAAATGATAAAAATCTCCCATCATAAAGTTGCTTTTTGCAATGGATACCAAAGGTACCTTAATTTATAAACATTCTGTTTTGTACGCCATACAAATTATCACAAATGGGAAAAAAAAAAAAACCATCAAATCAGGACAGTCCACAGAGTAACCTAAGAATCATAATTAAAAAATGAAAAAAAAATGTCAGTCCATAAGCATCTAGACTCTTATTACCTTGAATACAAAGGATGATGGCATTAGGATTCTGCATGTAAGCCTTGCTGATGCTAAAGATAGTTTCCTTAGTATCTGGAGCCATACCTGATGTCACAGTCTTTAATATGTATATGGAGATACATGTTCGAAGGAAAAAAGAAAACAGAAGTATGTAAAAAAAGAAAAACAACAGTTAATGTTCTCACCTTGTCTTCAAGATTTTTTTTTTAAAATCTATTGCATACTTACACTAATGACTCCAGGTAAATCAACCAATACCATTCTCTGCAAACCAGGACCTTTCACACTTAAGGAGATGGTCTGTGAAGTAAAATTGAAATTAAAGGTTCAAACACTCACCTTCTTTGTATGTAATTACTTATACAAATACATAAAACTATCTAAGTGCACATTTATACACATATGCTTTAAACCAGCAACATCCTGCAATTTTAAATAGGAAGTCCAATTTTATATGCACAGAACTGTGACACAAAATTGATTTTAACAGTCCACATACACTTGGTATAGTGCAAAACATTACGTACACATGAACTGGATTCACCAGTGTTTTTTTTAAGAATACTTACAAAAAATGCACATGTACAGGTATTTGCCACTAAATATTTGCAAGTCTTACCTCAGTGCTAACAGTGCATCCTTCCTTCACACTGTTTCTCATTCTGATTTCTATTTCATTTCTCAAAGCTGCAAGCTGTTTTGAGAAAAGAAATATATCAAATATAGAAGTCCTTATAATCGTGACAGAAGAAAAATAAACATAATTTAACAAGTTTATTTTGAATTAAGATCTCTCTTTATAAATACCATCTCAAATGTATGTTGAATAACTAAGTCGGGTAAACGGGTTGCTAAATGAGAGATTACCTGCAGACTATCACATAATCCAAAAATGTCTTGGCACAAGAACTCCTTCTGTATCTTACCCACTTTAGTGCCAGCCAAAAACCACACTAAGAGATAATTTAGTAATTAATATAATGCCTTGCCCCACTATATCTATTTCACTCTAATTAAACATGGGCTAACATCTCACAAAGACAAAATTTTTTTTCAGAGAATTAATAAAAGTCACATTAACTTCCAGTCACTTCTTTGTACTTACATCCTCTTCCTTGGTCAGATCAAATTCCCGAGAGCTGTCTTTGAATAAAGCCACATGGTGGGGACCTTCACTAAGGGTTACCTAAACAGTAAAAGCCTTGTATGAGAAAGTATGCAAATCTAACACAGAGAAACACAAGATGTAGATAGCATATGCACACTCCCCATTGGAGACAGACTACTATATATAACGTTTATTCAGCACGCTACTACTTACAGCAGAAACTACTACTCTGATAGTATATATGGGTCTGATAGTGTATATAGGTCTGAAGCAGTTTTGTCATTGACTGCATCAACTCGCTTAGAAGCCATTTTATAACTTAATGTTTACATATATTTCAGTTAATGGCTTAATCAGAGGGAGAACAATATCAGCAAATATTGATTCAGAGATCATATTTCTTACCTTAACAGGGGAACGTGTCATCATCTCCCCAGACCCTCGAGGGAATATGCGGGCTTGGGCGATCATTTCTAACACACTGGTTTTTCCTGCACTTTGATCTCCAACTACCACCACCTTAAGTGAAAGTTTAAACAGCCATTGGCTTTCAGCAGGATAATTCAGAAGCTTAGACAAAAGCTGGCTAAAAAGATGTTAATCCGTAGCAACACTGGCTGTACGATGTTGGACAATAAATGTATTGGTTTAAACATTAAATCCTTAAAAAAATACTAACTTTTAGTCATGCAAAAAAATTGACTTGCTCTTAAGACAGCAGTCTACTGCCCTACAGACCTAACCTGCCAGGCCACCTAATGAAGAGAGGAAAGGCTTGCTGTTCTCTTGGCAGGCATTTCTTCTCTTCTTGTACAAAATCCTCTCAGCAGGTGAAACACTGAAGACTACTCATGCACTTTTACCTGGACAAGGCTGAATTCTGATGTAGTTGCTGTGATGTAACCATCTTATTGGCCTTCTATAGAAGCCACCAGTGCTACAGGTGGCTGTGCAAGCAGGAAGAATTCCTGGCTCTCCCTTATACCAGCAATGAGGCTAGCCAAATCCCTTCTCACACTCACCCCTCTAACAGCAGCACTACTGTGGGGAGGTTAGCCAGGCAACTTACCTCCTCCGCTCCACATGTGGGAAACAACAGTCATTTTACAATGCTGAGAAGGCTGGGGTGCCTGGCCCGAAACCATTTAAAAATAAAAGCTAAGCACAGCAGCAATATCTGTAACTAGACAGGTTTTTATCTATGAGCCAAGACACACTAAAAAGAATTACATTGGTTATTCTCAAAATTCTCTTGCTGCATTTAAAATTGAGAGTGTATCTTACGCAAAACCTCTGGAGTTACAAGAAAATAGCCTAGAACTAGCTCTGGATTATTCCGGAATACAATTGTTATACTCAATTATAAGACCGGTGTTTCACTAAAAAAAAAACAACTGAACTTTTTTTATCTACTTACTCGAGGTAGGTGATCTTGAGTGTTGTAACTGGCATCGTAATCAGACAGGATGTCGAGTACCTCAGAATACATATCAATCAAGGATTTCTAGGAAAAAAATGTACAGAGAGAAAACGTAACCAATTAACAGAACAAAGACTGGTTTTCAGTCTACTTCATGTGTATATTCTATAAACTCATCTGTAAAAATGTATTTATTTTCTCCTGATGGCTTGAAACCTAAAGTGTCTATACAGCAGAAATCTCTGTTTTATGAAGTATGATACCAAGCAAAGCCACCCGTTCTCTTCTCTGGATGAAAATACTGCAGATGCACCTTGCTGAATAAGCAAAATGAGGGGTCTTATGTACAGTGTAACAGAACAAAACCACTCAGGGTTCAGTTTCCAAGTTGAGAAGCCAAATTGAGTTTCTTACATTAAACATCTACACTTGCATTTTCAGCTTGAACAGTAAGTGTTAATAAGGGTATAAAACTATCAACCTCATTCTGTACAAACAAGAACACTTTATCTTCCAGTTCACAGAGGAAAGAGGAAGATCCATATTGGTCAGTGATGCAGATTGAGGTAGAAAGCATCCATTTTTAAAATGCTCAAGATGTTGGCAGACAAAAGCAAAGAATACTTAGTTTGATGCCCCTGGATTTATACAAGGCTGTTAAAACATGTTTCAGAACCCTGTAAGTATATTTCTACTGAACACAGCAAGACCTATGACAAAACGCTGTGTGTGTGAGGAGCTGGAAGTATATCTATTAGAAAATACACTAAAGCTACATCAAAAATCTAATCCACATTTCCCACTCACTTAAGTAAGTTATTTAGACATGGTAACCTCATTGTGCTCTTCAACTGAAGCCATTTCCAATAGTTAAAAAAAGTATAAAAACCTTAACACGTCAAAAAGTTAGCAAAGATAGAAAAAATGTTAAAAGTTAATCTATGAATTAACTACAGTTTAGAATAGCATCATGAAAAATGTGGCATAATTATATTTCAATGTGATTTGTGACTCATGAGTACCTTTAACTTCCTCTGATGAATTCCCTTGTCATCTCTTTGCAGTACCAATTTTCTTAGTTCTTTGTTCTCCTTCTCTAATCGCTCGAGCATTCTTTGATATTTGAGCTACAAAACAATGGTACAAATATACTTTTGTAATTACAGAAACACTACACTCACATAAGCAAGTTCTTCAGGCAAGTATTTCAAAGATATAAAAAACCTTTGTCACCACTACAGTTTATTAAAAAAAACAAGATCATTAAGAGAAGAATGTTGGACTTTTTTGCAGCAACACAACACCTTTGCTTAAAAAGTTTTAATAAGACCACAATGTTCAGATCTAAGGATACATAAATCAATCTTTAACCATCTTAAACAAGTACCATTTTCAAAGGAGCTACAGATCTGCACTCAGACGGAAATTAGTGTCAGTGGGAACAGGCTGCTTAACCAAAAAGATTGTAGGGCTTCAATTTGAATTTGCAAGCTTAGTTTAGACCCTTTCTTTACTCTCTCTCTATATATGTATATATGTGTATGTGTATATATATCTCTCTCTGAAGATGAGACATTAATATAGTTCCAATATCTACTCTGAAAACTGTTTTGTATGATGTAACGATGTATTTGGCATGTGTACGTTATAAAACACATCAACTTTCAAGCTGTTACAAAAAAAATAACTGCCTTAAAAATAATAAATATATAAAAATATTACAATATCAAAAAATAAATGCCTTAAAAATAATAAATATATAAAAATGTTACAACAATATTAAAAATTCCTACCAATAGCTGTCATTGCTGTTCAAATTTTCTAGGGTTTGATTTAACTGAAAAGGACATCACTTTGAACAGCACCATCCTCTTTAGCTTCTTAAAGGGATTAAATGTTCTCTTAAATCCCAAACAGAAGGCAGAGAAAGAGCTTTCAAACTACCCACATTAATTTTCATGCTAAATAGTCCAATCATAAAAACAGCTGTAATTGAAAGAACTACTCGCTGCTTCACAATACAGATATTCATTAGATTTTCATGGAAGAAAACAAACCCAATGCTTTGCTACCCGTGAATGCCACTGAATGTCTCACCCCACATATCCTATATGATGTCTATTTTTCCACCTGGACCTCTGATGAGTCAGCAAATGCACTTAAAAGCTTCTTTACTAGAAATGACATCTCCTAAGATTAAAGGGTTAAAATGTAACTCCTTAATAAGTAAACTAATTTCCTTTCTGCAACAAACGTGCTATTGAAACATAAAAGCTATCACAGATATATTTAGTAGTACTGAAATGATGATAAAGAGAGTAGTAGAATGTTACGAGTAAAATTAGCACGCATAACAACTTAAGAACTGGAATCGCACCACTGTATTTATGTAACACTCTTGGGCTAACTATGCATTTCAGGAATATATAGCACTGAAGGCAAGGAAGGTATTTAGAGAAAGTAAGATTACACATTTGCCCTATTCTTACACTCCCTCCTTGCATTCTGACAGTCATTGTCACAGAAAGAACAGACTGGACTGACCTTTGGTTTGTGCTAGCAGTCAACTCCACATTGATAAGCTCAAAGTTTGAAAAAAGCACTGCATTTTTATCAGATCTGTTCAGGTGTGCTTTTGTCTAGTAAATCTCAGTCTGCTGCACACAAATTTCCTCTTAAGACATCAGTAACTCAGAAAAATTACCTGAGTACGTAAAAGTTCTTCTTGAAGTTGATCAATCTTCTCTTTGTCAGAAATCTACAAAGAAAAATAATCATGTCTACTAACTCACTGTTTAGTTTATCCACTGCAAGAAACCAAATCACAAACTGGAAGCTTAATTTCATGTAAGAAAACTGACTTTAAAAGCAAGAAAATTCTTCAATTAGCATTTGAGATTTAACTCTGACGGGAAGTCCCATCTGCAACAGGAGGTTCAAATTAAGAAAAAGATGTCTGAAATCAATACATGCAAATGCAAAAATTAACCCTTCAAGACTTAAAACTGGAAAAGCAAACTTAGGGAAAAACAAACTCTACATGGTGCTCAGTTTTCTGTTAACTACCCTAAATTTAATTTTTGTTGTCAAACTCTGAGGATTTTGCATGTTCATTTCCTGAGTTAGTAAAATCTGAATAGGATATAATCACTAAAACACCTGCTTGCTACAGAATACTTCCAGCTAAGCATTTATTATTTCTGAATCTTCAAAGGATTCTTATTTTGTATTTGTTTTTCTGAATTATAATACTAAACATGCATGCATAACTTCATAATCTGTAGTTAGGACAGTCTTAAAGGGTTATTTTAAAATATTTAAATTATACTAAAGCCTGGAAAAATTAGGATATTATAATACAAACATTTTGAGGTTCAAGGCATAAGTGTAGTAAGGTAAGGCAATTAGAGCCATTCTTAGTCAAATATTCTCAAAATAGGTTCATCAAGATGTAATAAGTTGTTCAAACTTCTTTTAATAACACAGAGGCAAAAGCATAAATGGTGCGATACAGTGTCATATGATGTAAATATTTACAAGCAACATAAATTCTAATGGTTGACTAATTAAATATTAAATTTAGAAAACTAATAACCTGAAAGAACAATACAGGTAAAAGCTTCAGTATTTAAATAAAGCTCATGTGACATTTACAACTCAAGTTAGCTTCACATCAGAAAGCATATTATCTATCATGCAGAAGACAGCTGTCATTTAGACACAAATCAATTTAGATACTATAATTTCACACCAATTGTTACACATTAAACACGAAAAAAATCCACAGTTATTCACAGTGATTTATATTATTTAGCTATTAAATCTGTAATACACAGGATTGTGCATTCATGAATACATGAAGAATTCATTTCATAGAAACCAAACCAAACCAAGCTGACACTCCCGTATATATAAAAATTATTTTCTTCTTCACAAACAACAAAGAGGAAGTGCAGTAAACTGACTTCCTGTCTACTTCTGTTAATTAGTTCAGTGATAGCAAAAGCACATCAGAAACAGGGTTAGTTTAGCACATGGACAACTTGATGCATGCAGCCACAAAGTCGTATATGTAAAGAAGCATTTACATATACACACACCTTAAACACCTCAGACACATAAGGGTAAAATAAAAATAGGAGGGCAAAGAGGATGGGATGGAGAGTCAGAAGCAAGAAAATAAAGGAAAAAACAGGATACAGATTTTCAAAGCAGTTAGCATTTTCTTGGTCTTTGCTCTTAAGCAAGCTGTTCCTCAAAGTACTTCTGAGGCCTTGATGCATCTTTGAAGTACAGATTATAGACACGTTACCTCTAACCACAAGAGTGCTTTTATGTACAGTAAGCAAAAATATTGCAGAGCTACATGTTGCAAGATCTGAAGTATTATCTAGAATTATGTAGCATTAGATGATTAATTCTAACAAGGACAACTAGGTAAGTTCTGTCAAAAATAATAAACAGCTCTAGAATTATGTATATGCTCCAGCATTTGGTTCAGGTGTGCTTTGCATGTTAGTACATGCAGTAATTTGAACATACAATTCATACTACTGCTAAAAATTTTTATGTTGCCAATAAAAGCTAAACTATCGTAACAACCTGAAAGTGCTAAATCATATGACTAATCTATAATCTCTAAAAAAAAAATCAAGTATCAAAATGTCTCTTTATAGGCACATCAATATTGTTTAATTCAGTTCAGTTTGGTTTGTACATCAAGATTCCTCCTTCTTTCCCCATTGCCACCATAAAGACTTACAAGAAAAGAAAACTCTAGGGCCCTTTATTAATCAAGGGCTGCTGCATAGAGATGTAGGTACCTCTTTACTAAGGTTACCAAAGCTCCTTATGCACATTTTGCAGTGGTTGCTTTCCAACAACCTTTATCACACATTGTATAAAATAACTATGTGCCTCTGAAAATTCAGTGCCTCTGAAAATTCAGTGCCTCTGATACCCCAGTTATTGGTTTTGTATATTTTCTAATCAGACTATAAAAATTCTAAATTGATCATCTACAAAAAACTACAATGATTTCCAGCAATACAAATTAAAGCAACTAGGCCCAGACAAAATGCATGTAGTAAGCAGCCATGCACACAGCAGCTATACAAGGCTAATCAATTATACTGCTAAATATTTATCAAAAGGTTAGGAAAAAAAAATTAAAAAAAAATTAAAAAAATCAAAAGCAAACAGTTACATTTTTGTTTTTAATAACCTCTCCTGGCTGTGGGGCTATTTTTACCATTATTTACTTTACAAATGAAGTAGATTTAATACTGAGTAAATTAAAAATGGAAAACATGCAAGTAAATTGGGCAACAGAACTTCCAAGAACAGAAATGAAATTATCATGTTCTCCAGCAGACAAGCAAGCAAGCCAACTCAGCTAAAAAATAACAAGGTTAGTTTATGTCCTGTCAAAAGGGCATGCGATGACTTATTTCAATGACACTAACAGTTTCTTCCTCCATAGGCAATTTGGATCAATGACTGGAATCTTGAAGGTATATTCTCATATCAAAATATTAAACAAAATAGTTTTCAAACAAAATTGAAATTTCTTTCAATTTGTTTCAAGCAAAATTATTAATGTGACAAACAAGACACATTCTTTGTCATCAGGCATGTATGCCAAACAGCACATTTGAATGCTAAATTAAAACTCTCTATATACAAGGAAAGTCAGACTTCCAACATCCAGAAAACACAGAGTACCTGCCTTGGAGGACATTTACAAAGACAGCCCTTACAGTTATGTCACAGCTTAGGAATCGCAGAATTAGTTGCAAGAAAGCACTCACAAGGTAGAATTTCACTCGGAAATAAATATAATATCAAGCTCACTTTTTTCCAGAGTGCATTTATTAGGCTGATACATTTTTATATATTGAATATTGTACTGCCTTTCCAGTAATTTTTACATCCTCACACATTTTATTATAAACTTCAAGCTACTATTCTGTACTTCCGCTCCCTCAATGAACTGTGTACAATCTTTGTAATACAATGCCTAGATCCATAACTGAGGACAGAATACATCACTGCTCTTTTAAATTCAGACAGAATATTAATTAATAAATTTTACAAACGAAATATGAGAAAAAATTGCCTTTCACCTTTCTCTTGTTTGTTCTAATTAAAAGGAAGATTAACAGATTAGAGTGACCAGGGTTTGTAACTCTAAACCATAAAAAAATAACATAGCAAGGAAGTAAAATATTTGAATTTATGAATGCTACTGTCGTTTCAGAGAACTGTGATTTCCTTTTTTGTTGACAGACTACAAAGCATGACAATTGCAGTTATGCAACTATGTCTAAAAGTTTAATTCACATCTGTGTTCCTCTTTCTGTGGGAGATATCTTGAGATTCACAGAAGATAAAGCTCTGTATGCAGTGTTCAATTCCAAAGCTGTTGAAAAATATGAGCACTCAAAAAGATTTTCTGGGGCACAGAAGCAGTGAAAGCAGCCATGTTGTTAAGAATTACAGGTTGTAACAGATTAGACAAGTAAAATATCCCAATTTAGGAAGTTCTTCCAATTCATCTGAGTTGTATAATAATGAATAAACTGATCAGAGCTTAAACTAAGTAAAATTACATACAGATGATCAACAACTAAAGCATATCAGTATAAATTGTCCCTTAAGAGGGAAAACAGACAGAGGAATACTTTTGATAAATACATAGTAAAGTCTATTAATAACAGCAGTATTTAACTGTCCATGCAAAAATGTTTCTAAGGAGCTGCTGTAATTTTCAGGTTGGTAACAGTACAAAGCAGGAAAAAACATTCCCAGAAACATATTGTCTGTAAATACCTATACTCTTATAAACAGAGCTACTGTTAAGTAAGCAACAGTAGAGAAGACACGACATTTATTCACATACTTTCCTTAAATGCATTTTTAATGCATGTACTTTAAATAACAGATTTTATAGGGGCAGAGAATATACAAGTTCAAAGCGACACAAAGTACCTGCTCTGCTTTTAACACCTTGCTTTAAATACAACTTGGTTAAACTGAAACAGGCCTATACATCTTTAGTGAAGTTGGTGGTAATAATTATTTGAGCCCATGACTTAATTAGTTAGATTTTTCTAGCTCAAATGCAGGAGGCTGAAGTATCTGATTAGTGTGAATACAGTACACATTTTCCCTTAAGCCATCACCTTTCGCTTCTGCTGGGAAGAGCCCATGTTATACTGGCCACCGGCTCTGCGCGCTTCCTCTTCGTGCTGCTGGATTTGTTGTTGTAACAGTATGAGTTCACCAAGCAGGCCCTGCCATGAGTTTACAATAAAAAGGAGAGGAAAAATTTGGGGTGTAAGGAGAACAAAGTTAAACCAAAGGACATGACAAAGACAAATGAAAACCAGGTATGAATGGGTCAGTTCAAATAAAAGTGAAAATTTGCCAGCAAGATCGCTTGCTAGCCAGCTGGGTGTGGATATAGTCGGTGAAACCATGCATTTTGCAAATCCAGGTAGAACAGAACAATAAACATTTTAGCTACATTTTATAATTATATTCAACTTTAACTAAGCAGCTAAACCTTCAATTCAACTATCCTGGTTTTAAGCTATTCTCTGAGGTTTCAGAATTTTTTTTCAATTATTCATGCCAAAAATTCTCAGCAGTTTTTCACAACTTAACCATATATGTATATAAATAATGTGGTTTGGATATTCCACACAAAGCTGTGCACAACAGCTAACAGACTCAAATTTGTCAGCAACATAAAAAAAATCACATTTTATTCTTATTCTCAGTAACACAGGCAGTTTATAGAAAGATGATTTTGCCTCCTACTTCAACTTCTCAAACTAGAAAACCAAAGTAGTTTCTAGAGCATAAAGAAAAAGCTCCCCCTCTACTGCTGTAACACTGCAGTTTAAATTCATGCTGTCATAGTACTTCCTGATCATTTCAAAGTCCCTGAAACATAATGCTTACACATGTACTTCAGCCTTTCTGTCAAGCTTAGTTCTCTTCTCCATCCACACCAAATACGCTTGTAATGGTAAACTGTCTTTCAAAATTAGTTTAGAGATACTATGCCAGCAGCTACCAGAGACTTTATGTACAATTTATATCAGAGAACGTAGACAAAAATATTAATGAATTATTTAAATAAAACTATTTAAAACAAATATTCAATCATCTAAGAAAACACTTGGGGAAATGCAAGGTTTCAAAAATGCACTTCAGGAATCAAAACAAACCCTGAAATAGAACTTTGGTGTAAGAATTCAAGACACCTGCCATCAAGTTACACATCTAGCATAAGGTGTCCCTGCCCATGGCAGGGGGGTTGAAACTAGATGATCTTAAGGTCCTTTCCAACCCTAATTATTCTATGATTCTATGATTCTATCTGTTGCATGGAATACACAGGCATGTACACATAAGGATAAACAACACAGAGAATGGATAAAAGAGAGACAATCAAATGAACAAATACAAACACCTGTTAAATAGTGATTTTGTGTAATATTTCAAGAATAGAAAAATCTTCACATTCGTATTTCACTGAACCACTTTAAGATTTAATAAATTTCTATACTGCCAGACTAGCAAAGGCATTAGAGCTGTGCCAAGAACTCAGCCAAAAGATTTAATTCCTATACAGCAGCAAGGAGAGCTCACTGTTATATTCAGTATTAGAGAAGGAATAATAATCTCTTGCCATTTTGCACACAAGGAAACTTTCAATAAATACGACCTGAGAAGAGTCCCTTTAAAAACTGTGTTATGGGTCAAGAAAATAGAAGAAAACACACTGAACAAAGCCTTCCATGAAGGCCTTTTAGCATTTAAACAGGAACTGTTACAAATGTTTGAAGTCACCAAATCTAACTATCTAATGTGCAGTTAATAAAATACTAAAGTAAGAAATACAGTAATTTAAGAGGCTTCTCAGTAACACTTCTTTGCATATATCAGTCAATAATCTTATTCACTCTGTTTGCTCTTTCTTACTTTACAGGTTAGAATTAAAAAAATAAATAAATTGAAGAAATATAAAGAACCTTAAATAACACAGAACTACACACACAACAACCAGGCTGGTATGAACCAAGACACAAACAAAAATGTTTTTTGCTGTCTGTCTCTCACTGGACACTACCACTGTTTCCTCCCACAGAAAGTAATCACTCCAGTGTAAAACTGCATTTACTTTAAAGAATTTTATCTAAACAAATAAATTAATGTGATTTCAAAACCCCAGCTGTTTACAAATATATTATTATTTTTGTTACCAAAGAAACTATGTGAAGAGAGTAACACCAGCTGACAAACACAGTGGCATAAATCCTGAAAGTCATCAGAGAATCTGGGTGCACAATAAAGGCAAAACAAGTGCTGATATCGTTACTGCATATGCTTAAAAAAAAAAACAACCCAAAACAAAACAAAACAAACAACAAACCACAAAAAACAACCCATAAATCCCACAACAAAACCCAAAACAATCTCTTAAAGTTAATAGGCTGTATTTCAGTTGAGTATGACTACCTCTTTCATTTAAAACTCTCATGACTAAAGTATTTGTGTTGCATTTTGATAAGCAACCACAGCCCTCTCTTTTTGCATATGGTGACTCTTTCCACTTTTCCCCAGTAGCTGCAGTGTGACTATTCAGAAGAAAAGCTAAGCCATAATGAGTTCTCACAGGAAAAAAATTTTGAGGGATGTAAAGGAGTGAAAATGATGAGGAGAGTAAAGAGATCAATTTCTAAGAATTTGAATAAATGTCACAATTTTATCCAGAGTACCTACAAACCTGGGAATTAAGTTGGGAATACAACAGTGCTATGAATAGAAAAAAGAAACTTTATTGCATAACATGCAAAAAGAATGAATCAAACAAGAACGTTAAAAAAAACAACCAAACAACAAAAAAACAACCAAGTCAAGGAATTCTTCTTAAAAAAAAAACACCTTCAAAAGTCTCTTTTTCACCCTCTAGCAGTAGCTGTAGTGAAGAACTGCACAATTACTGTGCTGCTTACACTGAGTGAAGGTGACTCTGTGCTGGCTGAGCGAGGCAGTCTACACACTGCCAAATCCTCAACAGTGGATTCAGGTTCAAGCCATGAAATTTTATCAAAGCACCAAAGGCAGGGAAAGGACTGTGTGGTTGGTTTTGAATTATTTAGTTATCTGACTTCTAATTCCCAAATCAATACTCGAGTCATATTTTCCACACACACTTCATCACAGCTATAACCACTATTTTTATATATATATATATATATATATGCATATAAAATATATATTTTAATTGGGCTAAACTTTGGAATTTGTTTGCTTTAATAGGAAGCTGAAATTGTTGAGGAAATTGTTTTGGAGACAGACAATATTGCAAGATAATTTTCTAAGAAGTTAACATTGCCATTTGAAGTGCAAGCCTGAACTAGTCCAACCCATACAATATAATATTTTTACAACACTATAGCTTTTATAACTAGCCATTTTAATTTAATTATTTTCAAAAAATTGTGCCATTTTTATTAAATAAGAGATTATAAGATAAATACATTAGCTAGCAAGAAGCACTACAGCTTGATTTGGCGTCTGGGACAACGTTCACTCTCTCAGAGTTATCTTCCCAACTTACTAGTTTCTCACTCATTCTACAGGAAGTGTTTAGAGATCCATCTGAGGACCGTGCCAAATAATAGTTCTACAGAACATTCCTCCAAAGAGGAATTCCTAGATTCCTTTATCAGTTACTGATCTTTTCCACAACTGAACAAAGAAAACCAGCTCATCAGACACATTTAATGCCATGCTACAGCACTTTATATATCCATACAGAAACAACTCTTAAACTAGCATTAGTTGGCAGTGGAAAGCATTGAATGAAAAAAGGCCATCTAACCCATTGTCTTGAAAATAATAATTTTGCTTGCCAATAAACTGATTATGCTTTGTTAGGAACTCTTATGTGCCTTTTGTGAAATGGTATGACCAAAATCGATCCTATTAATTAGCAAATCGACACTTCCAAGCATAACATACAGGATATAATTGGAATAGCAAAAATTAATACATTAGACTAAATTTTCTAAATCATACTGCCTTATTGTGCTGATATTTTCCATACCACAGCCAAAGTTTTGTTGGCAAAATTCAAATGCAGTTTGAATGCATCAAAACCAGCCCATAATAAGTAATAGTGATATTACTGGTATTCAGTAAAAATCTCAGTTAATTTAGTTTTCAAAGACAATAAACTAAGATGGCCACTTCTTCACAAATCAATAGTACAGTATTTTTTATGTTTTAAACTCTGAAACCTGTACTAAGCAATCACTCAGTGGAAAATAATATATATAGACAGTTTACTGACAAAGGGGAAACAAAAAGTTAATTCTCATCACTGTTCTAAAGGGAAAAAAAGCAGTTACAGGTGAGCATTATAGAGGTTTCACTATATAATGCCATGCAGAATTAATGTAGAATAAACGTATACATGCCTGCATATACAAAAATGTCTTTTACGTAAAAGCCTGAGTTATAGTTCAGGCATTTTCAGTTGCAAAAATAATTACAAATTCCCAAGTATATATTTTCTTCAATTTGTAAAAAGACATTTTAAAAACATACCGAGGAAAAATGAAAGGCCTTTAAACAAAGAGCAACATTACAATTTAGGAATTTAATAGAAATAGGATCAATTAAAAAAAAAATTAAACTTCACCTTCTTATCAAAATACAGTAGCATATTTTTCCAAGATATAGTAACAAAAATGTGATGTATGCTCTACCTAAAGAAAGTAAAAAGACAAACTGCTTTAAGAAACTGAAATTCTTTATAAAGGCAAAAATCCTTAAGTAAGAATCACAACCGTGAAAATATCAACAACAAGGCTGCAAGCAGAGATGCCTGAAAATATCTACAGAAGCCTACACCAACTTCGGTAATAAGCTACAAGCTTAAGTGCCACTGAGAACATGCCCTGAGAAATGCAGATGCACACAAAATACCCAAAATAACATTCTTACTACAAACCAGTTTTTCTTAAGAATGTACTTCCTACAGATTTTTATGTCTGCTTTTTATTTTACTTACACCAAAACATTCATTATCATTGTACTCTTTATATATCAAAACCAACAATGCATACTCAAATCATTTTGAGTGACAAATGCTATTCAAGCTGCTTCAAATAAACATCCACAACTAGCTACTGAAGCACTTTAAAAAAAAAAATTTCCTTTAGTCAAGACATTTTTAGTTTTGAAAGAGAGTAATTACCTTCTTGAACTGTTTGTCATTGTCATATCCCTGGTCAGTAGCTCTGAATGCTGTTTCCCCTGGAGAACCTAGGACATAATTACAGAAACTCATTATAATACGCAAAAGGTACTTAAAAATTCTCAAACTACACCTACTATAATATTGAAGTTTCAACCCCTATGTATTATTAATTCAATAATCTTTGAAGTTCCTATAAAAAAAAGATCTTAAACTGCAAAAGAAATTCTGTTTAAAACTCATGAAAATTTTATATCATGTTTGTGACTCAGATTAGTTACATCACAAGGCAGCTTCAGTTAGACTCTAAGTTCTGAAATAATTTCAAATTAATTAGTTCCGATAAACATGAAAGGATAATACAAATTCTCTTGGCATTACTGTAATGAGAAAAAAAGTAATATTCTTTTTATTGTAATGACAGAGATTTTCAAAACAAGCTTCTGGAAAATGCCTGAAATAAAAAGCCTCTGCTAATGACTGTGACAGAGAAGTGACAACTATTAATTTATTTATTCTCGCAGGGAAGGAACTAAGTATTTCTAAAACAGTTGGAAAGTATTTGTAAATCAATTAAACTGATGTAAATATTTGTGTTTACATTGATATTCACTCCTCTTAGTACAGTAGGGTTTTAAGTTTGCTTTAGAGAGGCAGGTTAAGGGCAGTAAAAAGGGCTTTTACACACCTAACAACAGAAGTAGATCAGAAGCTCCTATGACTTCACTAACCAAATTGTAACCTGTGAAAAATCAGCAGAAGAGGGGAAATAAAAATTATAAATACAAAACAAAATGCAAACAAAGATGAGGGATCTTTGTTTCATTTGGAGGACCACACAATCATAAATGGCAACTATGCCCATGGGAGAACAGTAACACATAATAGGTGACATCTCACACCACCAGTCAGTAACACCATGACTTTAAACAGCCAAAACACATAGAAGATTGTAATGTACTTGTCACTCTGTTGAATTTGATCCCTACTTAGGCGCTTGCTGAGTTTGTGAGATTAATAAAGTAGTTCCACCATTGACAGTACTTTAAGAAAATGAAAATACACTTCTAATGCACACTGATAGGGAAATATTTTTGAAGAGACTAAGAGCAGTGACTATAACACCTCACAGACGTAATCTTTTACAAATACAGTAATTCTTAAGGTATATAAGAATATATATTAAGGAATAATCTTGCTTTTTATTACAAGACGACTAGGCGAAGTTTTGAGTTGGGGCCATTAGCAAGTTAGAGATGATGATTACATTTCTAAGGTACATTAGACACAGGTACAGACATTTCTAAAAACCCCACCAATCAGAAATGTCTTACTGAAGTCCTCCAAAACCTAGCAGCCATTAAGCCTGATGGAAAATATCATTCAATCCAAAAGAACGCCTCTGTTACAAATCTCTTATTTTACATGCTTGTATCCTTAAGAACCATCATTCTTAATAACCGAGCTCTTTACTTCTGTAAAAGCTGTGGTAATGTTACTATCAGTGCTACTCTTACCTTCTCCAGTTTCCAGCTGGACATGCCCAGCTGATTTTTATGACTCACTAAAGCAATCTAGTTTTCAATCTGTTTGTTTAGAGTTGTACAAGAATTTTACTTTTCTGTTCAATTTCGCATTTTTGTTCTCTTTGCTACTAGAATTCTTGCTTTTAAAAATATATTACACTTACCTGTGTCCATAACACTTTCACACGAGATATTCAATGAAAAGTCATGCATTTTCAGGATCCGCTTTCTTTTAGTGTCTAAGGACATATCTGTAACCTCACCTTGTAACAGCTTATGTTTCCAAAATTAAAACTAAGCTGAAAAAATGTTCTCACCAGGAGAAAAAAATCCTTTCAGTGAAGTGAAGCTCTCTCCAATCTTGTCAAAGTCAGGCAGAAGTTTGGCAAGGTCATCTGCATCAGGAAGGGCTTTGATAAGTTTTTCTAGGAAAACAGTACAACAGTTAATGAGTAAGGTTTTTTTCCCCTACTACTTCTGTGAAGAAAAATGGCTTATGCTATAAAAACTAGCAGATTTTTAATTTATTTACTTTTTAAGTAATGCACCTCCCCCCATTAGTGTTGGGAAAGATAATCAGATCCAAAAAATTGCTTTTTTAGACTTTGAACTTCCTGATAAGTTGGTTGCCTCAGGCAGTTTAAAATTGCCTAAAACTTATTGCTGCATTTCACTACCACATTCCATGTTATTCTCTCACACATTTTGTATAGGATGTTTTAAAATTACACAAAACTGTAACTAAGCTCAACTCTTACATATTTTAACAAAAGCTTATTTTTCAATTTCATAAATAAGCCAATTTTGTAATCCTTAAAAAAAAAACACCAAACTTATTAGCTTAAAAGTACTGTAAAAATGTACTGTCCCCTAGCAATAAAAACAGAAAATACTTGTCAGTTATTCAATCTCTGCATTTATCTATACAATGCTCATACATGAAGTAAAATCTTATGCCTTTTTTTTGAAAACCACCACCTCACAACCCTGCATATATAAGTAACTCAGTCCTTGTTTTTCAGATTTCTATCTTTGACCCAAAAATATCAATAAACCTACTGTAACCAGAAGGTTCAGAAAAAGTCTGTGTTTACAGTTTTCTCCTGCATTTTCAAGATAATTTTGTAAATAGGTAGGTTCACTATTGTGCATTTTCAATTGGTCTTTTACTCATACATATCTTTATATCTTTTACTTATCTATTTATATTTAATACTTGTGTCATAGGTATAGGAAGAACAAACTTTACGCATACTACCGAAACCTGTGTAAGTCCCCTTGATCATGCTGCATCTCTTCTTTCAATAATAGGATTATATGGCCCTATGAGAGGACCAAGAACATTCTCAAATAAAAAGGGTGAATTATGGATTATCAATGCTAAACTACACTTAATTTCTTCCTACAAACACACTAACACAAATACCTTGGTAAAATACATGCCAAACTCTAACAATACAAGTTCACTCAAAGCTATAAAGATAGCTACTGGAGACAGGCACTGAAGACCTGCACCCTGAAGTTTTACATGTGCTAGTCTTTATATAGAGTAACATTTTAGCTTTTCTGATACCAAAGTCAATATGTTCATCAAGCTCCCAAACGAAGTCAGGAACAATCCACTTATATTCATTGAGATCTGGCATCATGTCCTTCCACTGATCATATGTCTAATACAAAAAAGAAAAGAGAATATAGAAAAAATAGAAAAATAAATGTATAGAGAAGCATATAAGAAGTCTATTGAAAAGTAATTCCTACATACAGAACATACTAACCCACCATCTTTCAGCTATGAATAATGCTATTTGGATCTTTTAAAATCTATACTAGTTCTCTATACAACCTTTAATACCTTTACTATTCCCGAAATTCACTCTTTATTGTCATTAGTTAACCAAACAATGAGATCTTGTATTTTTGCGCATATACCAAGAACTATTGCTTCAAAGCATATAATAACAACAAAGACAAACATAGAATAGCATAACAGGTAAATACCTTCTTAGCTGTATAACCACCACCTACAGCAGATCCTAATATAAGATAGCGAACTTTGAGAAGCCTTGACGCTAGTCTAGCTAGCCAAAAGTTCCTGTGGAACTGGTATCCATGTTTTACATTTAAAAGTTTTGTTTTGCGTAGGGGAAGACGATTAAGAGAAGAGAACAGCTTAATGGATATCCTTAATGGAGGTCTTTGAAATTTTGAACTTGGATAGTAGGGATGGTGTATACTTCGGGAAACAAGATGCAAGTTTTGAAGTGCTGATTTTCTTTTTATTCCATAGCTGCTATTTGCAAGACTCCGGCAGATGACACTACAAGAAAGAAACAAAAACTCTAAGTAACAGATTTCCTCAAAACACCATTAACTCAATAACCTCTTTAGAAGTAATTCACACTACATTTTAGCTGGTTACAGATACATTAGAGCATCATTATGAATGTACACCTTCCAGCTACTACTGGTATGCTACCAGGAAAACAAAAAGCTGATGCTTACACCATAGAATCATAGAATAGTTAGGGTTGAAAAGGACCTTGAGATCATCTAGTTCTAGCCCTGCTGCCATGGGCAGGGACACCTCACACTAAACCATGTCATCCAAGGCTCTGTCAAACCTGGCCTTGAACACTGCCAGGGAGGAAGCATTCACAACTTCCTTGGGCAACCCATTCCAGTGCCTCACCACCCTTGCAGTAAAAAACTTCCTCCTTGTATCAAATCTAAACTTCCCCTGTTTAAGTTTTAACCCACTACCCCTTGTCCTATCACTACAGTCCCTAATGAAAAGTCCCCTCTCAGCATCCTTACAGGCTCCCTTCAGGTACTGGAAGGCTGCTATGAGGTCTCCACGCAACCTTCTCTTCTCCAGGCTGAACAGCCCCAACTTTCTCAGCCTGTCTTCATAGGGGAGGTGCAAAAAAGTTTCAGAACTTCAAAGCAGCAATCTGCTATCTTATGATTACTGAATTACACAAGGAAGAAAAACTAAGTTTTCAAATTCCCATTCTGAGGTCTTTCTGAAGTCACTTCTGCTTCCAAGCAGCACCATGAGAGTCACGGCACTTGGTGTGTGCTCCACGCACGCCTAACTGTTGACACAAACCCTCCTCAGCCTCTCCCAGGAGGCTGCCCACAGCTTCAGCCACCAAGTGCCAGCACCCCATCATAAACATCGTTAATGACTATAGCATTTCCAGTGATTAGAGAAAAAAAAAACTGAAATATCACTTATAAAGTCTGTTATAAATTGAATTTAACTTCCACACTGGACTAAGGCAATTAACATGTCTTTGATAAAACACAGTTTAGACAAACAGCAGCTAAGAGTCCACAGAAGACTATGACCAACTTGAAACATAAAACTTGACATTTTGGACTATCTTGTTATTCAAACTTCTAGAGAGTGTTAATTTTGTACAGAATTTTCAAACTTCAAAAAAACAATACACAGACAAAATTCCTTTGCAAAGTACATTTGCTCTTTTTTGACAAAGCAGATTCTCCTCTGGAGCTGAAGCATTTGTTTAATGACATCTTTCAGTTCCTTCCACTATTGCCCAGAGATGTGGATGCTCCAACCCTGGAAGTCTTCCAGGACAGGTCTGATGTGGCTTTGAGCAACCTGGTCTAGTGGAAGGCTGCTGGATGCAAAATATCAGTGAAGTTACAGTTCCTGAAAACAATGCTTGTCGCTTGATTTTTTTTCAGGGTTTTCAATATTATCAAGTGCATTTACTCACAAAGGGGTTAAACATAAAAGAAGAAAGTGCTTCACACCATTGAGAAGGCATATTATTTATTCAGGAACCCTAAATCATTTAAAATTAACAGAGCTTAAAGAGAGTAAGAGAATCATATGAAACGAAAAATATTACAGAATCTTCTAATAACATGCCCTATAACCTATACAGTTCTTTGTCTTGAGATTTTCTAGAGATGACACTGTCTGTGACAGGCATGTTCTTAATGTCCAAAGAAGTGGAAGACTGTTATAAAAGCAATTTTAAGCCAGAAATGGAGCTTTTCGAAGCTAAGTTAAAAAACAGAATTTTGTGACTGAGATACTTTCCTCTCTTAAAAGACCAATTCTGCCAACGATCTATGTTTAGAAATTTCCCTTAGTGTAACTGAAAGCTTAAAAAAGGGAACTCCTCTGACTGTTATGGAAGTCCATGTTCATAAAAGTCACTCTGATTTTGAAGGGTATCCTCTTGCTGCTATATTAAACTATCTAGAGAGCTGTGTTCTTGCAATAACAAACTCAGTATCTAGGAAAAGGATAATAAGCAGGAACAGACTAATCCCTAAAGTGGTAACAAGGTCCTCTTTTTTTGACATGGTATAAGAGCCTGGGAAATTAACCACAGATAGTACCAATACCAAAGCGGCTACATAACAATAAAACGTAACAGTGCTTCCACATTGTTTTGTTTCCCAATTTTAAAAAGTGTTTTTAAAATCAGGGGATGGTAAGCCTGTAAGAAGAAAGCTGATGACCGAGACACTATTTCTTTTCTTTTGCAGTCACCACCATTACATAGATATTTAACCTTTTACAGCAGAGACCAAGTAGTATTATATACTATGGCAGCCACTTCTTATTGCTAGTCTTATCTAGGTTAAAAGCATTTGTATTATGGTGTAAGTTTCTTCTCTATGATTATTCTTTTAAACTGTGTTTTACAACATTCATTCTCCAAGTTTAAACTGAAGGAAAAATTGAGTTCCATCACAAATTATTATTGCAAGAATTTGAACCCTGCTGAACTGCTGAACCCAGGACATCCACAAATGCCTTTTGAGTGCTATCACGTATTTCAAATCCTACCTGCTTTTATTGCACATGTAAGACTATATAATTAATTAAGAAAACCCACTACATCATTATACCAAAAATTCTATTGCTAAAAGCTTCTCATGAATACAGACTAAAAAAATCACATTCAGATCTTCACTGAAAAGTGCACCTACATTGAAGAGGGTGTCAAACAACACTATTAAATATTTCATGAGTTCCAAATATGAAGCATCTGGAAAGCTGTTTTTAACAACTGTAACAAAACTGAGCCTTCCAGACATGAGTAGCTCTGGTGTCAAAATCTGCCTAATTTTACAGGCCTGCAACCTGACTACTCTTGCATTGCACTAAGATTACAGATATCTTGTAAAACAAGAAAAAAGTAGCCTTCTACTACTGATACCCAAACATTCCACCTGTAGGTCATACCTAATATTTTACACATATTGCCCAAGAAATCTCCACCTCAGCTAGAACAATTTTTTTTTTTTTTTTAAAGACAGGATATATACACTTTTAAAAGTTATGCTTATTAATTATGACTGCAAAGCAGTCTTTCAAATGTAACCCCGCAAAAAACACTGCGGTATTTTCTTTCTCATTCAGTACTAGACAACACTTATTTTTGTACTGCTGCTCCTACATCTGTCAGAACATTGTGAGATTAACAGCCATTCAGTTCCACTGCTCCTGTCTAGAATCGTGTGGAAGAATGAAGAGAAACAGGAAGAATGCAGAGTAGCTGCCGGGGAGGGCCAACATCTGGACCTGGGGGTGACCCGAACTCTCTAGGGTAGGAATGTAGGAGACGCAGCTCCCTTTCAAATAGCACCCCCCGATTCCCCTGGAGCTGAAGGATGAGGAATTTCCCCGCCCGGGACAAACACACACACCCCACCACCACCTCGCACCCCTACCCGCTGTGCGGCTCCGGCCTTCCCCGCGGACTGCCCCGTTCTCACGGGTACCTAGGGCCCGCTTAATCGGGGCAGGTGTCACAACAGAAAAAGCACCTGGGGCAGAGGCCCCGCGGTCGGAAGAGGGTCACGGCTCTGGCGTGACCGCCACGCCCCAAGGACCAGGCAGGCCCGCCGCTCCCGCCCTGAGCCCTGCTACTGCCCGTCTCGCTCACCAAGCCGCTGCCGCCCGCGTCCGCCACATTCTAACGGCCGGAGGGGCCAGGAGGAGCCGACCGCCCCCCGGCCGCCTACCGGGACTCAGCCGCCGCGCCTGAGGCCCCGGGCTGCCGCGGGCAAGGGCAGGTGAAGCCGCCGCGGCTGCAGGCTGACAGAACTGCAGCCGCTTCCGGGCACCGGGGTCCTTGGCGGCCGCTCCGGCTGGAAATCGCTCCTCCCGGCGCAAGGGTTCCGGGTGCGGCGGCGAAGGAGGGTTTTGAGGTGGTAGCGAGGGGGGATTGCCTGATCAGAAGGAGCGGAGGAGCCCAAGTGGTGTGTTTTTTTCACGCTCAGGTCGTGTGTTCTCTGTGATAAACACATAAATGTATTGGCTTTCGCAAATCATAGGTGTTGTTATGTGGATATAACTGTATGAGTTTGCAAAGCTCGCTAAAGACAACAAGTTGAAAATGGCTAGAACTCTTGAGCAAAATGGAGTCACATAGCAAAAGAATTTGTAAAGGTAAAAGAAAGGGGGGGGGGGAGAGAGAGAGAGGGAGCTTGATATAAGAAAAGTCTTATTGGATCCCTGAATGCTAACCCTAACCCTAAACCTAATTTAAGCCACCACCCTAGAGATGAGACCTACATCCCCAGCACTATGGCTGGCCCAAATAAGAAAGGTGTGTAAGAAGTAATACTGGTTCTATGCCAAGCTGCCCGTGGCATGCCTCTGAAAGCCGCGGTGTCCTTGGAGCTGTAGTCTTTTAGGATCTCTGAATGCTAGCCCTAACCCTAATTTAAGGCGGCACCATAGATATGAGTCCTACATCCCCAACACCATGGCTAGCCCAAATGAGAAAGCTGTGAAAGGAGTAATATTGGTGCTGTGCTACACTCTTCTTGGAATGCCTTTTAAAACCCCGGTGTCCCTGGAGCTATAGTCTTTTTGGATCTCTGAATGCTAAGCCTAAACCTAATTTAAATCAACAAGATAGAGTTGAGTCCTATATAACTTGCACTAAGGCTCGCCCAAGTGAGAAATGTGTATAAGGAGTTATATTCATGCTGTGCCACACTTCTCTTGGCATGCCTTTTGCAGCCCCAGTGTCCCTTGTGCTATAATATTTTTAGATCTCTGAGTGCTAACCCAAGCCCTAACCCTGATATAAGTCCTACATCCCGTTTACCATGGCTGCCCCAGATAAGAAAGGTTTGTAAGGAGTAATGCTGGTGCTTTGCCGCATTCCTCTTGGCATGCCTTTTACAACCCCAGTGTCCCTGGAGCTACAGGCTTTTTGGATCTCTGAATGCTAACCCTAACACTAACTCTAAATTTAGTCGGCTAGCTAGAGATGAGGCCTACATCACCGGTGCGATGTCTGGCCCAAATAAGAAAGTTATGGAAGGAGTAATAGTGGTGCTTTGCCATGCTCCTCTTGGCATGACTTTACAGCCCAAGGTTCCGTGGAGCTATAGACTTTTTGGATCTCTGAATGCTAGCCCTAACATTAACCAGAATTTTAGTCAGCACCCTAGAGATGAGGCCTACACCCCCAGCACCATGGCTGGCCCAGATAAAAAAGGTGTGATAGGACCACTATCGGTGCTTTGCCATGCTCTTCTTAGCTTTCCTTTTACAGGCCAAGGTTCCGTGGAGCTACAGTGGGTTTGGATGTCTGAACGCTAACCCTAACTCTAACTCTAATTTACATCGGCAACATAGAGATGAGGCCTACATCCCTTGCAACATCCCTGGCCCAAATTAGAAAGGTTTGTTAGGAGTAATATTGGTGCTGTGCCATGCTCCTCTTGGCATGCCTTTTACAGCCCCAGTGTCCCTGGAGCTATAGTCTTTTTTTGATGTCTGAATCCTAACCCTAACCCTAACCCTAATTTTAGCCGGCACCCTAGATGTGAGGCCTACATCACCAGCACCATGGCTCGCCCAAATGAGAAAGATGTGGAAGGAATAATATTGGTGCTGTGCCACATTCATCTTGGCATGCCTTTTACAGCACTAGTGCCCCTGGAGCTATAGTCATTTCAGATCTCTGAATGCTAACCCTAACCCTAATCCTAATCCTAATTTTAGACAACTCCCTAGAGGTGAGGCCTACATCCCCAGCACCATGGCCTGCCCAAATAAGAAAGGTGTGGAAGGAGTAATATTGGTGCTTTGCCATGCTCCTCTTGGCATGCCTCTTAACACCATACTGTCCTTGCAGCTGGAGGATTTGAGGATCTCTGAAAGCTAAACCTTAACTCTAATTTGCATCTGCAATTTAGAGGTGAGGCCTGTATCCCTTGCACAATGGCTGCCCCAAATAAGAAATGTGTGGAAAGAGTAATATTGGTGCTGTGCCATGCTCCTCTCTGCATGCTTTTTACAGCCCAAGTGTCCCAAGATACACTTTACAGCCCAAGTGTCCCAAGACGTCTTTTAGGATCTCTGAATGCTAACCCTAACCATAACCGTAATTTTACCCATCTCCCTAGAGATGGGTAATCTCCATCCCCAGCACCATGGCTGGCCCAGAGAAGAAAGGTGTAGAAGGAGTAATATTGGTGCTGTGCCATGCTCTTCTTGGCATGCTTTTTACAGCTCCAGTGTCCCTGGTGCCACAGTCTTTTTCGATCTCTGAATGCTAAACCTAATTCTAATTTACATCAGCAACATAGAGGTGAGGCCTATGTGACCAGCACCAAGGCTCGCCCAAATGAGAAAGGTGTGGAAGGAGTATGTCCTGGGTTCAGCAGTAGCAGTCATTTTTCTCCTTCATGGTAGCTGGTGCAGTTCTGTGTTTTTGACTTTCAGCCTGGGAACAGCACTGATAACACCAATGTTCTTAGTTGCTTCTTAGTAATGTTTACTCTGACCAAGGACTTTCTGAGTCTCATGCTCTGCCAGGGAAGAAGGGAAGCCGGGAGGAAGCAGAGACAGGACACCTGACCCAAACCAGCCAAAGGGGTATTCCATACCACAGCACTTCATGGCCAGTATATAAACTGGGGGCGGTTACCTGGAAGGGCTAGATCACTGCTCGGGTATGACTGGGTATCAGTTGGTGGGTGGTGAGTGGCTGTATTCTCTTCCCTTGTTATTTCCCTTATCATTATTATTATTGGTGGTAGCAGCAGTGGTTTGTGTTACACCTTAGTTACTGGACTGTTCTTATCTCAACCTGTGGGAGTTACATTCTTTCGATTCTTCACCCCATCGCTCCGGGAGCGAGGAGAGGAAGAAGGGAGAGTGAGCTAACAGCTGTGTGGTTTCTGAGATCCCAACTGGGATTAAACCATAACAAGAAACATTGGTGCTGTGCCGCATTCCTCTTGCTGTGCCTTTTACAGTCCTAGTGCCCCTGGAGCTATAGTCATTTTAGATATCTGAATGCTAACCCTAACCCTAATTTTAGGTGGCTCCCTATAGATGAGCTACATCACTTGCATCAAGTCTCTCCCAAATGAGAAAGGTGTGTAAAGAGTAGTATTGTTGCTGTGCCAAGCTCTTCCTGGAATGCCTTTTAAAGCCCAAGTGTCCCTGTAGCTATAGTGTTTCTGGATCTCTGAATGCTAACCCTAACTCTAATTTACATCGGCAACATAGAGGTGAGTCCTACATCCCTTGCACCATGGCTAGACCAAATAAGAAAGGTGTGAAAGGAGTGATATTGGTGCTGTGCTGTGCTCCTCTTGGCATACCTTTTACAACTCCAGTGTCACTGAAGCTATAGTCTTTTTGGATCTCTGGACGCTAACCCTAACTCTAATCCTAATTTAAGACAGTACATCTGATGAGGCCTACATCTCCAGCACCATGGCTGACCCAAATGAGAACGGTGTGGAACAAGTAATAGTGTCCTTGGAGCTGTAGTCTCAGGATCTTTCAAAGCTAACCATAACCCTAACCCTAATTTAAATCAGCACCATAGAGATGAGTCCTACATCCATAGCACCATAGGTTTCCCATATGAGAAAAGTGTGGAAGGAATAATATTGGTGCTGTTTCAAGCTACCACTGGCACGCTTTTGGCAGCCACAGTGTCCATGGAGGTGTAGTCTTTGTGGATATCTGAACGCTAAGTCTAAGCCTAACCCTGATTTAAGCCCCCAGCCAAAGGATGAGACCTACAACCCCAGCACCATGCCTGGCCCACTTGAAAAAGGTGTGGAAGAAGTAATATTGGTGATGTGGCAAGCTAGCATTGTCACGTCTTTTACAGCCACAGTGTCTCTGGAGCTACAGTCTTTGTAGAGATCTGAACATTAAGCCTAAACCCAAGCCTAATTTAAGCCCTCACCCAGCAGATGAGACCTGCAAGACCAGCACCATTGCTGGCCCAAATGAAAAAGGTGTGGAAGGAGTAAAGTCAGTGCTGTGCCAAGCTCCCCTTGGCATACCTTTTACTGCCACAGTGTCCCTGGAGCTGTAATCTTTTTGGATCTCTAAATGCTAATGCTAACCCTACAACCTAATTTTAGTCGGCACCATAGAGATTAAATATACATCAGCAGCACTGTGGCTGTGCCTGTTGGGAAACTTGTGGAAGGAGTGATGTTGTTGCTGTGCCAAGCTCTTTTCGGCATTTCTTTTGAAGCACCTGATCCTTGAAGCCTTAGTCTTTGTGGATTTCTGAACACTAACCCTAAACCTAACCCTAATTTAAGACGCCACCCCAGACATAAGGCCTACATCCCAGTTGTGGAAGAAGTAATGTTATTGGTGTGCCAAGCTCCCCTTGACATGCCTTTTACAGCCCCGCTGTGGCTGTAGCTATCGTCTTTATGGATCTCTGAACAAAAACCCTAAGGCTATCCTTATTTAAGATAGAACAATACAGATGATGCCTATATGCCCAACACAATGGCTGGGATAGCTGGGAAAGTTGTGGAAGGAGTAATGTTGTTGCTGTGCCAAGCTCCTCTTGGCATGCCTTTTACAACCACAGTGTCCCTGGAGCTGTAGTCTTTGTGAATCTCTGAACTCTGTCATAGCCCTAACCCAAATTGATGCTGGCACCATAGAGATGAGGTCTACATCCCTAGAGCAATGGCTGGTTCAAATGGGAAAGACACAGAAGGAGCAGTATTGGTCCTGTGCCAAGCTCCCCTTGGCATACCTTTTACAGACCCAGTGTCCTTGGAGCTGTAGTGTTTGTGCATCTTCGAAAGTTAACCCCAAGGCTAACCCTAATTTAACGTAGCAACATAGAGATGAGGCCTACATCCCTAGCACCGTGGCTGGCCCAAAGAGAAAGGTGTGGAAGGAGTAAT